GATTTATTGAATTATTTTCACAATCTGATGTATTTTATTTTATTTGGTTTTGGTTTGACTCAAAGTTACTCAGAATCTGAATACTTTAAGCAAACAATGCGGCAAGGTGGTCCTATTAAACCAAAAGGGCCCCGTATTCCTAAGATGCCTCCATTGTAAGCTTCTCAAGAACAATGTTTTATGTTTATTTTTAGTATAATGCTTTCTATTTTGGCTCTGGGTTCTTAATTCCGTTGCCTTCAGGCATGATTTCCAGTTTTTCAACACTCAAAGGCTGACTGAGCTGTATGAAAAGGAAGTTCGCTATCTTATGGTGCGTAACATAAACTTTCTGATTCATATTTTTTTGGCTCAGCAAAGGCGTATATATGTTGGTGCTTATATTATTTAACAAATTTTCAGCAAACCCATCAGAAGAATCAGGTAAAAGACTCAATAGATGTTGATGAACAAGAAGGTATATAGTACTCCACAGACAGTTGATTTTTCCCTGATTATATGTATATATTAATTAATAATGACTACATGTTGAATGTTTAGAGGTGGGAGACCCATTGACTGCCGAAGAGTTGGAGGAAAAGGAGCACCTGCTAGAGGAGGTGAGCAAATTTCTTTATAAACTAGTCTTTGATACAGATCCTTTTTTTTTATTTTAAAAAGATTTGGTATTTGGCCGATAGGGATTTTCATCATGGAGCCGGAAGGATTTTAATGCTTTCATTAGGGCCTGTGAAAAATATGGCCGAAATGATATAAAAAACATTGCTTCTGAGATGGAAGGAAAAACAGAGGAGGAAGTTGAAAGATATGCAAAAGTCTTCAAAGAAAGATACAAGGAATTAAATGGTAAGTTACAGCCAAGATGAAAATATGAGAATCTTTTGTATTAGTAAAAATACTTTACAAAATTGAAATGAGTATCATATCTGTAACCTACAGTCAAGTTTTTTTTTAATAAAATCAATCTGGTTGTTTGATTTATCAAACAACTGTGTGAAATGTTGATACGGACTGTGTAGAGTGTTTTATTGAGTTAAACTCCAGTGCATTTTTGTCTTGGTTCTTTTTTGTGTTGATTTATCTACTGAAGCTTGAAATTAGTTTCTCATTAAAATATGAAGGGTTATTCTAATTTATGAATTTTGACTTATTGCCTGTAGATTATGATAGAATTATTAAAAACATTGAAAGAGGGGAGGTGAGAATATCTCGGAAAGATGAGATCATGAAAGCTATTGGGAAGAAGTTGGACCGCTACAAGAATCCTTGGCTTGAGTTGAAGATACAGTATGGACAAAACAAAGGAAAGTTATTCAATGAAGAATGTGACCGATTCATGGTGTGAATTTTGTTTGATTTTCTTCCTTTTGCCCAAATTTATTTAATTTTCATTTTCTTGACGTCTAATTTTATTTAATTCATTTATGTCCAGATCCTTATTTCGTCTGTGTTTCTCTAATAGAAAATCCTTGCTTCATTTAACTTCACCACAAAATTTGCAGATATGCATGGTTCACAAACTTGGCTATGGGAATTGGGATGAATTGAAGGCAGCATTTCGAACATCACCCTTGTTTCGTTTTGATTGGTTTTTAAAGTCTCGCACAACACAGGAACTAGCAAGGAGGTGTGACACCCTCGTTCGGCTGGTAGAGAAGGAAAACCAGGAATATGAGGAGAGGGAGAGACAAGCTCGTAAAGAGAAGAAACTTGCCAACAAGGTTTGTATCTGCTTTTTAACCTAAAATATTTGAGTTTCTTAATTTACATGATATCATTTGTTGTTTTACTCAATTTCAGAGTATGACCCCATCAAAGCGTGCCTTGCCAAGACAGACGGATAGTCCATCTATGAAGAAGCGGAAGCAGTTAACTATGGATGACTATATAAGCTCGGTATGTTTCTTTGCTAATAATATTGGAAAAAGTGTTTCGTGTGATATATCTTGGAAGTTGGAATCACAAAATGATGTCATTTGGTGGGCAGGGCGGGATTTTTAAATTTTTTAAATTTTTTAACTTATTTTGGGGCTATATTAATTTCTTTACCAAGACAAATTTTCTTTGACCCCATAGCATTGTTTGACTTTGTTGTGGGTATTAATAACGGGAGAAACACTAAATTCATATATTTTACTAACTTGTTTTCGTTGAAGTTACGTTGCGATTTTACTGAAGTTGACCGTGGTGTTGTGGCAGGGGAAGAGGAGAAAATAAATGGACGTATGCCCTACATTTGTGTCAGGAAGGGGCGGGTCCCGAGTTCATTTTTAAAGTCTTGGTGATTTTGATGTAGCCCAGTTGACATGTCAATTGATGGTCAGGTTTGGCTTCCCCAGTCCAGTAATATGGATTCTTTTTTGTTTTAGAATTTTGTAGGCCCGAATTAAAACATTGAAAGGGTAGGTAGGGAAGATTAAAAAGATGAAATCGAATGTTGAATTATTTCTATGATCCGTAGTACTTTAACTGCAGACAGTTCAATATATATTGGATTATATTCTTTCTTTACTCTCCTGAAGTTGAAATCAATTATACATTAGTCATTTTGCTTTTTATCATCGTAGAGAACTAGTTCATTTGGGTGTTTTTTTGTCACTCTTGCCCCTTGTATCTGAAAATTTTATTCAATAGAAATTGCTTTTGTAATTGTATTCAAATTGAATCCGTTAGTCGAACGTCATTGAGACATAATTGAGTGTCAATCTTGAAATTGGTCGTGAATATACCGCTTCATTTAACTACGTATGTTAATAAAAAAAAATCCCAATATTTTTGAAACAGTTAAGGAAAAATGGGCTTTGGTCACACGCTTATTTGCTGCGTGATCTGCATATTTCTCCAGCACAACCTGCTTCCGTTTACTGTGATAATGCCTCGTGAGAGAACGAAGCATGTGGAGATTGATTGCTACGTTGTTCGCGAGAAAATTCATACGAAGCTCATTCACCTTCTTCCAGTATCCTCATCTGCCCAATTAGTCGATATATTTACGAAGGCACTCTTTGCCAATCCATTTCGCATCAACCTTTCCAAGTTGGGACTTCGGAACATCTACAGTCCCACTTGCGGGGGATGTTGACATCCATCTCAGAAGTAGATCCGGCTCATGGCCACCTACAGTCCCACTTGCGGGGGATGTTGACATCCATCTCAGAAGTAGATCCGGCTCATGGCCACCTGGACACAGTCCATTCAACTAATTGTAGTTAATCTGTTTTAGTTGATTAGTTAGTTACAGTTAGTTGTTTAATCAGTTAGTTAGTTACAATAAAAAAATGGGCCTGTGCAATTTCACGCATCTAGCTCAATGGGCTTTCACGTGAGGGGGCGTGTTGAGATATATAGTCCCATATTGATTGTGTGGGCAACTAATGTGGCCTTTATAAGGCTTTGGGCACTCTCACTCTTAGAGCTAGCTTTTGGGGTGGTGTATCCCAAAGTTCTTAACACACGGACCCAAAGAAAAATAGTATTTGTATAGATTTTGATTTTCAAGAGCACTTCGCAGGTTTTTTTTTTTGGTAAAAACTTTGCAGGTTTTTGTGCAATTCATTAAGGTGGCGTTTGGTAGAAGAGAAATTTTTATTTATCTGGGAACAATAGATTACTAGAATATAATAGGAAATATATTTTGCTGGAATGTTACTAAAAAATTGTTTGGTAGGGCCAAATTTTCTTGGAATTTTATTGTTTATTTTACGAAGTGTGTGTTTGGTTGATTGTGAAATATTAATGAGAATGTGAGATTATTTTACGAAAATAACCCTACTTTTACTTTTTAATATAATATAGATTCTATTTGCTACCAAATAGTAGGGTTATTATTGTCTACAAATATTTTGGTCTCCCGGGCAAACCAAAATTCTAACTTTTGGATGGACATATTTATATTTCATCCGTACTACTTTTTATACATGAATTGAAAAAACCGGGTAACATTGTTTCTTGGGAAAATATAATATTTTTGCTAGCAAACATGGTCTTTCAATTTTCCAAGGAACCCAAAAAGAATCTAGGTACCAAACACTCTCTAAAGGCTTTAATTTTTTGCAGCTGTGGTAAAAAATGAGTCTGTCATAGACACAAAAAATGAGCTCCACTAAAATAAAATAAAATAAAAGAATGTGTTATAATATGGCTTCCTAGTAAGATATAATTTGTATAAGTGTTTTTCAGTTCATTAAACAAGAGTCTGGTTTTCTAATTGTTTGGAGGGGAGTAGAAACTTTGTACTTTGGAGTCGTAGATAGGTTTATGAAAATGATGCTTGCGTAAATATTAGTTGTACTAGGTTATGTAGCATTGATACCGACACCGACACGAGACATGTAGCACAATACGATACTCCGACATGTTAATTTTAAAAAATGTTAGATTTTGACACGTTAAGACATGTTTTGATATTAAATAATATTTTATTTTATGTACTGTATATTATATTTAATGTTCAATAATTTAACAAAAAAAATAAAACTAAACTTGTAATATTCATTAAATATAATATATTTTAAATATTTATATTAAACTCAATAAAATAACCATCGTTAAGATACTACACGTAAGAAGTTTTGAAATGTGGGTGCTACTAGGTAGGGGAAGGACGGCTAGCCGGGTTCATCATTCGAGATATTGGGAACGTGAATATGATTTAGTAGTTTCATGCTTGTCTATGCGGTAAGCTCTCTTTAAGAATGACGCCGCTGTTTTTTTTTTTTTTTTTTAAATTCTGATAAAACATGACGCCATTGATTGCTGTACACCGGATTATTTTATTTTATTTTCATATCGTAGGTTCCTAGCTTGCGTGGCCTCGACCGTAACCTTAACATATTTCGTTGCAGACTAAAGCCGTAAGTTGGAATTTACAATAGGGTAGACACGATCTGTTTAATCAACAATCAGCACTATTCATTGACATATTTAATAAAGTCAGCTTGTGTGTGTTAGTTCATTCCGTCATCGCGTGCGTAATAGCAGGGGGTATGGTGAAAAATAATATATAACTCTGACATACAACAGAGACTGTACCAGTACAATATATGACAGCAATGATACCCACACCAAATCCACTAAGCTCCCCACATTTACAAGCAAATATGGGAGAAAAAATTAGACACGTTACCTTCCTCGTATCATGAACCAACAAATCCTTAGTACATAGAGAGAGTAATGAATTGACATTCTACAGGATGCCCTGACCCCATTTTTTTTTTTTTTTTAGAAAAAAAAAACTGTTTCCTTCACATGCTAGTATCTAACAACCAGAATGATGTGGGAGAACATTCAGAGTTGGATCCAAGATGCTTATAGACATTAAAGGATATGATATGACCAAATTTGTCCCGTGCCGTGCGAGTCAATAATACATCTCCTCACTAGAAAATGAGTTGATGTTGTACCGTGTTCACTCGTTTGTAGTGTCAAAGCTACCCATTGCATTTACCCTCTTCTTTTCTCTCCAATTCTCACCCCACACTTTTGCCTCTGCAACTGCACGTTCTCTGTCCAGGTGTCGTGTTTCTCTGCCTCTTGCACTATTTACAGGGCTGTCTTTGTGAGATTCCTGTGTTTCAACATCATCCAATACCCATTTCCTCGCTGACCCTGACCCACCAACACTTTCACTCCTTCCTAACTCACTTGTATCCCTATTCATTCCATCTCGATGATTCCTCGGGGTTGATAGTGATGGACCAACTCTGTTAGACTGAGTGGTTGCATTGCCATTTGGGTCATATGTTTGTGAGGCCAGGTATGTGAGAGCAGTCACAACATCCCCAATAAGAGGCCTTGTAGCAGCTTGTTCTTGCAAACACATTGCTGCCACTGCAAGTGCTTGATACAGTCCTCGCATTGGATAACGCCCATCAAGTAGAGGGTCTGCCATTTTTGGGAACTTCCTACGGTCTTTAAAAAGAGGTCTTGCCTGCAAAAGTTCCATATTAACATCAAAAACATTGTTCATTGATGTATGGTTTTAGACATTAGAGCAACTTACCCATGCAACGAGATTATGCTCTCCAGGTGCACGTGTATTATCAATAGCCTTGCGCCCTGTAATAAGTTCGAGGAATACCACTCCAAAACTGTACACATCGGACTTGAGAGTTAGTTGCCCAGTCATAGCATATTCTGGGGCACAATAACCATATGTTCCCATTACTCTTGTGGATACATGAGTCTTATCACCAACCGGACCAAGTTTTGCTAACCCAAAATCCGATAACTTAGGATGAAAACCCTCATCTAGCAGGATGTTGGATGATTTTAAGTCTCTATATATAACAGGGGGATTTGCCTTGTCATGCAAATATTCCAATCCCTTTGCTGCACCAGCTGCTATTTTCATCCTAGTGTTCCAATCCAGGGACTCCTTGTCAGGAGGAAGATCTGCAACGAGTCTCAAAATCAGAACGCTGAAACCTTATCTGCGTAATTTCTAACAATAACATACAACACTGAAAGCAGTATAATACGGGTGATATGAAACAACAAAATTATAATGGATTGATAAAGAGCTTAGTATTACGAATAAAATTTATCTATTATTTCCATTCATTATCAATATTTCCATCTGTCACAGCAACTATAAGACTCTTGAAAGTGCTCAATGTCACTCACTGAATCATAGATGCTTAAATAATTTTAGGATCACAATTACGGGCCATCCGTACGTGACATCATGCAAACAAGTTAAAATCAGTATACATTATATAGTGCAAACACCATACAGAATAAATAAAATTTATCATCCTATAGCTTGAAGAACCCATTGATGATATATTCTCACGGAAAAATTCAACTATTTAATGGTATCTCATAATGGTTACGCAAATATTATACGTTTTCCCGGGAGGTACAACACACTGACACTATGATAGCAGAAGGAGATGATAAATTGATTTGTAAACTTTTTCATATTAAAAGAAATGTGAAGCATGCTCATTTTTCTAAATGCTTCTTGAACAATATATTTCACCCTTTTGAAGTTTTAATAACCCCTGAAGATTCTTATTTGTTTCTCCTAGCTGTCATGTCAAATAGTATTTTCCCATTCTATGAGAAAGGACATCGTCACTCATGGCATACAAACATAATTCTTCGGTTTGATAACAGTGAATTCAAACATAAAATGGAAGAAACTGCCCATTCCAATAGTTTTCCTTCGTCATCCATTGTCTTTTAACAATTAACACTGCTCTTTCTCAAACCAAGTTTAACTTTGGATCTTCACCATTTTACGACATTAGAAGAATTTGAATTAACATGAAATTTAATTTTTTTATGATACGAAAGCACAATAATTCAGGTAGCAAAGGTTTCAGGAAAAAGAAAAAGGAAAGCAATCTGACCATGTAAGCGATCCTCCAAAGACCCCAACGGCATAAATTCGTAAACAAGTAACCGCTGATCACCATCAGCACAATAACCAATTAAGTTCACAAGATTTGGGTGATGCAAGAGGCTAAGCATGAGAACCTCCACCAGAAATTCTCGATTTCCTTGGAGTCCATTTCGATCAAGCTGTTTTACAGCAACTAACTGCACAGACATGATTCCATCAACAAATACTTAGAATGATAGACAGAGACTAACAGTGTTGATTAAATGAAAAAAATTAAACCAACAAATAATAGTTTCCAAGCCCAAAATGTAAAGTACAAAATAAATAATCATCTTTTTATTATATGATAGGTATTAGGTTGAGCTTCAGCGTTTAGTAAATCCAAGATCTTTGTAGTGGCAATCAGAACTTACTTGGCCAGTGCTCTCAAGGTGACCTTTGTATACACGCCCAAAGCCACCTTCACCTAATAAACATTCTGGTCTAAAATTCTTTGTAGCAGCTGCAAGCTCTCGGAATGTAAATATTTGTGCAGCAATATTGGCTGTTGGCCCATCCTTCGGAACTGGCGGTTCCTTCTTAGGATCTGAGACACTCCGTAGTTTTAATTTATCTTCATAAATAACTAAATATAGTTAGGTGTGAAAGAAACAGAAAAATATACATACTGAAAAAAATTAGAGAACAAAGAGTATGTAGAGAAGATGCTGCTGCAAATCATCATTATACAGCCACAAAAGGAGTAATGACATATAATACTTCAAAACAGCATGAAGACCATATGCTGCTTCGTTGTAAAGAACATTAGCAATTATCTTTCAATAAAAGAACCTAAGAACAAGGGTTTGATGTTTTAAAATCACATATTGGATCACAGCATCAGTTAAAATGTGATTCAAGTAATTTTAACAATCCCAAATGCACAGTAGCACAAATACCATGCAAGGATTGTAAAGTATATAGATTCATCTGAATGAACTTATCGTTTCTCTAGATAAGGCATTCCACATTTAAGAGAAACAAACCCATCTTGGTAAAAATTATACAACTTTGCATATATAATTATCCAGAACAACCCGCATCTGCCTTGCATCTCAGAATTGGTAAACAATGGAATACGTTATAAAACACTCTGATATGTTATATATCCGGAGTCAAGGGTAGATCTCCAAAGATGTTACTGGCACCTCTTAATAAGAATGAAATTCAATAAACTATGAAGCTAAATGATTTCACTAACTGAAGCCGTGGAAGCACAATCTCAGATGAATCAGATCAAAGCAACCAATACTTTCAACGAAAAACATGGTCACAAAAACTAAGAAAACGGGTGGAAAACGAAGAATTCAACAAAATTGAAGCCAACCCTGAAACGAAACTAGCTAAAAAATTGAAGCCAGAAGCAGTATAGGAAAGAAAGTTAGGAAATTTGTTATGACCTGAGCTAACCCTGGAGGGATGGTGAGACTGAACAACTGAAGCTTCTTTAAAAGAATTTATCTTGGGCACTTGCTTCTTCACCCCAGTGTCTTCCTCGTTGGATGATCGAAAACAAGGAAAACACCCACCCATATCAGAATCCAATCAAAACCACCCTTTACAAGGAACAGCTCTCATAACAAAGCCTCACTCGCTCGCACCTTCAACAATCTCAGAATTATCTCCTACAAAGCACTCACTGCCTTATGTTTCAGTCACTCTCTACACCTCAACGCGGTTGTGTCTTCTGAATATGATCTTCATCGGCCAGACCAACATGCTGGAAAAGCAGATCAACCAATCGAAGAAACTGATGTTGTAAATAAAGGGAAACAAAATAAACTATGTAATGTGATGTAATAAATAACAGAACATCAAAGAGAGAGAGAGAGAGTTTAAATTTAGAATTTGAAAATCTAGTTGGGGTTAGAAAGGAAAGCAGGGTTTAAGATGAATTATTAGGTAATTGATGTGCAATTTGGAACACAGTTGCGTTACATTTAGAATCTGTGCAATTTATTTCTAAGATTGTGTGAGATGAGTGATGAGATTTTCGTTCACCCTTGCAATTCTGAATAATAATTACAAAGGCACAGTTTAATAATCATCATCATGGTCGGATAGTGGGTCCCACCCGAAGGATGTGTCATGGACATTCTCAACACATGTTTTTTTTTTATATATATATATATAAAATTAAAAGTAGTAACAATAATATACATTATAGTATGTTGAATGAGAATATTCTTTTTTACACAAATTGTTATATAAAATAAATTATTTTATGCAACATATAAAAAAGTGAGATATTTTTTATTTTTAATAAATCTCATCCATTTTTCTATGCATTGTATAAGATAAATTATCTAATACAACATGAATAATTTATATGTCCTTGCCAACAAAAAAACAGAACAAAAATAATAATCCACAGACAGACACAGTGTAGCCGGCATGATTTTATGCTGTGCTGTGTGGTATCAATTCTCTGCCGTTGGATGATGGGTCAATTCCTGATGCTTCATCTACTTCTGCAAATTATACGGTGCAAAACAACATTTACAGCTTTGCAAATTTTGTTGTATAGTGTGGCGTAAAAAATAGAGTATATTAACCTTATAAAAACTATTTAATGTTTAATTTCTTTAAGTAACTAAAACTATTTAATGAAATAATATTAAATCTTCTTTAATCGAGACTTTTACCATACTCCATAACAAAATACTAAAATGTTTAGACATTTGTTAGACAGTATTTATTGTAAAAATTTTAGGTCTCAGTTAAAACTTTGTTTTGACAAATAGTTAACTTGTTTAAATACTCGTGATCATTCCACTTTATTCATAATTTATTTAGCATAACATAAGTTAAAATAAGTAAATATTACTATATATTGACTTTTATGTAGACCAATGATCTTTTTACTTTGTCTTGTGCATGGTTGTCATTCATTTTGCCTGAATAACGGGAAAAATATATTAGTTTTCTTTGCATGCAATTATATTAATAATTTGTATAATTATAATAAAAATTAATGTGGGAGTATTATTAATTATTATAATTTATTGTGAACAATTAATATAACTTGTATGGCTATAGAATACGTTTTGATTCATATTTAAGATTAAAATAGTATTATTTAATTAAGAATAAAATGTAATTTCATATATATTGCGCTACTTAGATACAAACTTTTTTTTTCAATAATTTGATTTAAAACAAAGCATTTTCATTTTTGAGTTCACATTCCCTCTTTGTCCTTTTCTTTTCTCTTACCTTTGTTGACTAGTGCTTAAAGTTTGAAATGCGCCATTCACCAAAAAAATAAATAAATAATTTGAAATACATCATGGTGTGCATGAATGCGGCTAAAGGTCCTATATATTCTCATAATATTAGATTAAATAAACAAAAATTAGGTTTTTTTTTTTTTTAAATTAAGACTGGTTTATTTTATTCGGAACCTTTTCTTTTGTTACTGTTATTGGTAACCTAACTAAATAGTTAATATTTTTTTAATTATTATTTATTATTTTAAAGGACATAAATTTATGTCATTTTAATTGAAAAAAAGAGATAAAATAAAAATAATGGTGGAAGAGAGTGAGAGATTTTTTAATTTAAATTTTAAATAAAAAATACTACTTTTAATTAAAAGATTATTATTTAAAAGAATACATATTTTTTTCATTTATTATTATAAATTACTTTATTTTAAATTATTTTATTTTATTTTATTGGTAAACGTGTATTGCAGTTTGTTGAACTTGAAGCCCGTTCACTCTTGAATCACAAAGTTATTAACTAAATAATAAGAGAAAAATAATTTTTACAAACTTTTTTTTGTTTACACTCGGATAAAATATATGCTCAATAGTCAATAGTTAGAGGTTCAGAGGGACCGCGCAACGTTTTCATTGTGCGGACCATTTTCATGACACAAACCATTCTCATGGTGCAGACCATTGCGCTAAGTCGCAGGGTAAAATTCAAGGACTAAGGAAAGCTATAGAGATTTGATAAGGTCCACCACGCATAAGAGTCAGTATAGATGAGATAGCTCCAACTTGCCACTACTTTAAGAAGACAGACTAGCATCTAGATTTTTTCATCAAGGAATAGCTTGAAGGGCACCAACTGTGACAGAAGAGCAGACACCCAAAATCATCAATAAGAAGAGATGACGCTCACGAGACACGAAGGATGACACATAGCACACTATAAATACAAAAGGATACAAACCCAGGTATAGATATTGTTGGAATTTATGTTGATAAATCTATTGGTTATGAATAAGAAGTGAGTTAAGGAAGAAAAGAGAAAAGGGAAGTTGAACGAGTGTGTGGGTTTAAAAATTCTCACATTGAACAACTAGTAGGAGGTGAGAGAGTTTATAAGCTCTCACCTCACACTCCTAAATTGATCCTTGGGTCACTACACATTTTGTGGAGGAGGAGGAGCTAGGTGGACTTAAGTTCACCACAGGCGCGCTGCCGCCGCCGTCCGTCCGGCTCGGATCCGTTTGTACGTGTGTGTTAATGAAAATTTATTTCATGTGATCTTTGTAAATATGAAATAATTTGGTTTGAACGTATAAACTTTAGTTTGCAATAAGCCATATTAATTGATGAAGGAAGAATGGTTGGACTTATTTTTATTAAAATTATGGGCTAATATTGAATAAAAAATAATGCTAGATGATCTACAGGCCAGTTGTATGGTCCTTGACGAGTAATGAATTCCGTAATGAGAAAAGTATTGTATTGGACTTGAAATGTCTGTTGATTCGGCCCAAACATACTAAGCCCATTAAACCGATAAAGAATAAGGGATTAATACCTAAAAATATGTGAATTTATGTGAAGAAAAGAGAGGGAAAAAAAATGATCTACACATATTTTTAGAGGGTTCGCTTTTTCTATACTCAATGTAAATAACTCATCTATATTGAGCCCAAAACGACGTCGTTTTGAGGCGGAAATCAATGTGTTTTTGTAATTATAATTTATTTCAGGGTTATAACAATTTTTTTTTATTATAATCTTTTAATTTTTCAATCTAAAACGACGTCATTTTGAGAGCAAATGTATATAACTTATCTACATTCACTTTAGAAACACTATAGCCATATATATATATATATATATATATATATATATATATATATATATATATATATATATAAAGAGTTTGGTGTTTGTCATTTTAAATGACATAAGTTATGTCATTTTAAGAGAGAGATAGACACAAAAAATAAAAATCATGGGAGAGATCGAGAGAGAAAGTGGGTGTTTTTTTTTTAATTTAAATTTTAATTTAAAAAATTGTTTTGTGTTTATTTCTATTTTAAAATGACATAACTTTATGTCATTTACAATGACAAACACTTTTTCCATATAAAAAATAAAATTATCTCGTATGACATGTACATAGTAAACATTTATGTTCTCTTGAAAGTGCCGCGGAAGAGTCACTTCTACTTTTAATGCATTTAACCTGAGAAGGTAAATTTGATGAATACATGCAGGGCAACATCCAATTTTCAGGATGAAGGGACAATGCATATGCATCATACATGAACATGAGACAGTGGGCGCGAACGATGGTATAACATTGTGGATTATTAGATAAATTGGAATCTATTCCATAACTCAAGTTTAGCTTTTCTAACATTCATGTACGTAGCTTCTGTTTATTCTTCTTCCTTTAGCATCTTTCGCTTGCAGGAAAAAAAAACGAGACAGAAAGAACTTGGGCAAACTCCGGCCATGCTGAAAGACCGTACAAATAATTATCAAATAACAAATTATGGTATATATTTGGGTAAAATCATGCAGTAGAAACTATTAGGATTACCTCACGTTAATTCGACTCCGAACTGTCTCAATATAGTTTCATTTGATATTGTAGATGGCTAAATGCTATGCATGAAATTAGGTCCGTTTCAGAATATTATGACTTTTCAAAATCTGCAATGTGTTTAAATACTAAGCAATGTTTGGAATATTATTTGATAAACAAGTTTAGTTATATACCTCAGTTACTTAGTTCTACTAAATATAGCCGGATAAAAATTTAAGTAGAGTTCAAAAGAATGTATAACTTAGTTGTTTTGTATGTAGCTTAAATGTTTTTGGAATAGCTGAAATTATTCAGATTAGTCATATAAGATAACTTTAAACCTATAAAATCGACTATATACTAGGTGTTCCGATATAATAAATTGGGATGTCCAACCTAATAGTTGGTATATTAATAGTGGATCTGTTTTTCCTTTCTCTGGTACTTACGAGGGATGTACCTTAAAGATCAGTGGATCATTGTGAACTATAATATAAACTGCATAGCCAAAGAGTGGGGTGTGTGTGCACAGTGACAAACTAAGGAGTGAACTTCTGGGCTCTCAGGAATATTGGGGTCCAGTTGTTGATCCATTGATGCCATAGTAGGATTAATATAATTAAGAAAAATTTTCTTAATTCCTTCTTAGCTGTTAGCCCTTTTTGGGCCTTCTTAAATGTGAGTCTTTGCCAGGTTTATAACACCATGTAATATGTATTATGTAGTATTAATTTTCTGTAAGTTCTGGCTGGCAGATAATGATTTTGAAATGTGTAAACTGTGAAAGGCTAGTTATATATGCAGCTGTAAAGGGGTGTAAATAGAGCAGGTTAGATCATACTTTTCTTTTGATAGCTTAAGCTTATGTAAAATATTTAAGCTTATATTAGCCTATTAAAAGCTTGATTTATAGATCTGGCCTTGCCTATTATAAAAAACTAAAATGTCTAACACGGCTTGTAAGGTCTACCAAATTACAAACTAAAGTTTATAGCTCAAACCAAACTAAAATATAAAAGATAAAATTTCTTATTCACAAAGATCACATGAAATGATATTTTTATTAACAACATATGAAATAATGTTCTATATGAAAATGTCATATATGTATATAATTTGCGCTTTCTTTACTAATTTAATTTAATATTATATTTTAAATAAATATTTATTATTTGTTAAAATAACATCCATCCTATTATTTTGAAAGTTAGTGTTACAAACAAATCATGATGTAAAGAACATATATCATAAATATATTATATTATTAAAAAAATTAAAAGGTTAGCCTGCATGTTTTTAGGCCATACTTTTTAAAGTGGGCCTATGTCCTAATTTTTAAATAGACTTTTTTAAAAACATAAATCTGCTATATTTAGAAAACAGAGTAGGTCAACTCCAGTCTAAGATAGGTCAGGCTGTAGGCCCTTAACAGGCCGTCTGATCCATTTACATCCCTACAACTGTATATAATTGGTAGACGAGGTGAATTTCACTTCGATTTTTTACTCCACAAATACCTATTGTACAGTGGTGTAGCCATTTTTTATTTAGGTAGGGCTCGGCCCCAACTACATTTCAACAAATTTTATTTATTATATATAATCATATAAATAATAATAATTGGGCCCTAGCTAAAATTATAACATTGGTATTAGACGAAGATTTGGAATTGCTTTGCGTGTGATAACAAATTGCTTTCTTCTTCTTTTTCTTTCATCTTTTTTCAATTAGGGTTTTCTTCTAACTTTTTTTTCTTATTCGCACTCACCACCCGGAACCTAGTCATTCTGCGACAAGACACGATATTTCGTTCCTTTCTTAAGATTTAACGGATACATGTTCTTAGAATATGCATTGGTAATTATATTATCCGCTGAGAAAAAAATCGATTTACATTTTTTAACCTTGTAAAAGAGAAATTATTTGTCTTTGTTGACCACAATTGTTTATTGGATGTTTCAAACACAAGTGAAATTCATGCCCTTTTTTTTATTTACAACTTTTTTGTATATGGTTGTATTTATTGATTTTATTTCTTTTGAAAAATGAAGTGTTGTTTTACGTTTACCTTTTAAAAAAATTATTTTAATGTAGAGTTACAGTTGCTATTGGTAATGAAATTGAATTGTTTTTTGGTGTTATTTGTATTTGATTTCACAACAGGAATGAAATTTTTGGTAATTAATCAGTGAAAACCGTTAAAGAAAAAAAAATCAACGAAAATATATGTATATATATGGAGTATGAAAATTTCTTGTACATACCCTGATACCTATTAACAACTTCTTTATTTTTTTTGTATTCTTAAATTTTTTAAAATATCTAAACACTGATTAAATGATTTATGTGGATCTAATGTCATTTAAATGATTTTAGACATTTGTTGCTTATTTTTCCATATTTCTTTTTAATTGTGAAGTTTTCTCTGTCCCTTTACGTTGATGTTTTTCAGAGGTCACGGCTAGGGGTGTTAATGGAGTCAAGTCAGGCCAGACTTTAACTTTAATAACCTAAGCCTATGTAAAATATTTAGAGTGGCCATTAGCCTATTAAAGGCTTGACTTATATGTTGGTATGACCTATTATAAAAAATTAAAAAACTTAATATAGTCTGTAAGGCCTACCAAGTTGCAAACTAAAGTTTATAAGCTCAAACCAAATTGAAATATAAAAGATAAAATTTCTTATTCACAAAGATCACATGAAATAAATTTTCTTTAACATCACATGAAATAATGTTCATAAAGATAACATGATAATGTTCATAAAAATCACATGAAATTTTCATATATGTATATATACATGTAATTTGCACTTTCTTTATTAATTTAATTTTATATTAAATTTTAAATTTTAAATAAAAATTTATTATTTGTTAAAATAACATCAATTCTATTACTTTGAAAATTAGTATTACAAATCATGATATCATAATATGTCTTTAAGTGAATATTATATATCATAAATATATTATTTTTAAAAAAAAATTAAAAGGTTAGCCTAGAAATATGTCTAATTTTTCTTATTAAATTTGTGTAATTACAATAAATATTTTGATAATTTGATATGTCAAATTTTTTGACTCCCTCCGACATATATTTTGCAGGATTTTCTATTTCCAATGATCGAGTGTTGCACGAATAACTAGCTCGTTCTGCTCCTCCCGCAGCTTTTGGAGTCTATTTTCCAAAGACTCTATTTGCTTTATCACAGAGCTAATACGCAATTATTTGTGTACATCAATTGGTGCAACACTTATCAAATGGACGTCTAGTCGTTTCCATTGAATTTCGTCTTGCCTTTGCTGCATTTCCGCAGCAATTGCAAGAATGCTATTTCCAATAGCCATTGATTTCAATTTGATGTTAGGTTTAGGAATTGAGCCAAAAAGATTTATATAATTACGCTAAATATTTTGATATGTTAAATTTTTTGATTCCGACTAAAATTAAATCCTGACTCCACCACTGCTATTGAACGACTCGAACACATATAAATGGTCTCTCTTTTTGCTAATTATTTCTTCATCATCCATTGTCATATGCATGAATGCATGACCGTTGTAAATTTTATTTATTTATTGGTTTAATTTTACTTTTTTTTTCTCTCCCTGTAACTCAACGTTGTTGCTAAAAACTTCCTAAATGGTTAAAACCTTGTCGTAATTTAAAACAGATTGTGGGGTTGCTAAAAAGCGTAGCTAATTATTTGTGACATACTTATAAATGCAGTTTTTTTTTATCCAACGTGGGTGGGTATGTACAAAATTATGGCAAAATAGCAATTTTCTTTGAGTAATATCATATTTCATCCACTGTTTTCATGTATTTTTTATTATACAATTAAAAGAATATAAAAAATAGTGTATAAATATCATTATTAATATAAACCCCATCACCCTCAAAGAATATTATTGAAGGGCCACTCACGATTATGAGCTTCGATTGAACAAGTGAACAACACTATCATAAGAACATTTTTATTCGATGGGAAATTTATCCACTCCCCGCCCCCTCTCTATATGCATTGCTCCACATTTACACAGGAATAAGAGGAATATAACGATTCTTTGAAATGACAAAGAGTGCAGTATACAGTAATTACGTGTCATCTTTGTGTCACGGACTATACCTTAAATCTTGTCAAAATTTATTCCAAAATTAATGGGTACGTATAATGCATGACGTTCATCCACGTACGGGTAACTGAGTCTTAAACTCTCTTAATTTAATTTAACCTGCGGTAATGTTATTTGCATGCTAATACGCTATACTCTTCACATCATTTCTATATTGATTAATGATAATTTAATTATTAATTAACAGTATATAAACTAGGGTAAATGATTTCTCCATGGAGATAAATTATATCCGATGAGCCCAAAATAACATCGTTTTGGACAAAAATCAAGATATTTTGTAATTCTAATATATTACAGGGTTATATTAGTCTTCATCATTATAATTTTTTAATTTTATAACCCAAAATGATGTCGTTTTGAGCTCACTGGAGATAACTTTATTTCCAGCGATCGAAGAAATACTTTTCCCTATAAATTATTAATCTATTATGAATTTATCAATAGTAGATTATTTGTTTATTAACTAATGGATATATCTTGTCATAACAAATAATAAAGATAGTTGTTATAAAAATTACGTAAGAACTTTGGTGTGTCAGAATTATTTTTCTTTAATTTAAGACATTTTTTATCCTCTTTTTCTCTCTGCGAGTTATATCGTTAAATTAATTTTGGGAGAACTTCATAAACCTCCAGGGTTTATGTGTAAATCATTTACTCCCCTGAAGTATTTTTTTAATCATTTACCCCCGTGTGCTTTGATTCATAATCAATTACCTCCCTCCAGTTATTTTCCATCCAAATTTAACTAACCGTGTTAAAGTTTAAACAAAATTCAAAAACAGTTAAAAATTAAAAAAAGCCAGAATTTATACAGGTTAAGGCACTACATGTTGTTTCTCAGAATAAACGCAGATACCAGGTGTTGTTCTTGTTCAATCTAATTTACTTTGTGTTTATTCTTGTAATGCTGCCTCATTTGAACAATTTATTGCCTCTTCTATGGGGATGATTGCTTTAATCCGTGATTCTTTGTTGCCTTCCCTTTCCTTAATAAAAGGGTGAAAATATCTAATGCAGAAACAAAGTTGGAGTAAGCAGTGTTTTTTGTTTTTTGTTTTCTGGTTCTCTAGATCAAACTTCACAGTTGGTATTGAGTTTATAAGCCCTGAAGTTTGCCGACAATTTCCTACTCTCTCTGTTTTTGAATTTTGTTTAAACTTTAACACTGTTAGTTAATTTGGATGGAAAATGAGTGGAGGAAGGTAATTGATTATGAATCAAAGCGCAAGGGATAATAAGATGATAAAAAAATACTTCAGGGGTAAAATGATTTAGAAGCAAACCTCACGGGGGTTTACGAAGTTTTCCCATTAAATTTTTAATCAAATAATACAATCAATACAAAGCACAACAAATTTGGATTTAATCAAAAAGCGGAAACAAACAATGGGTTGATATTGTAACCATAAATTTCTGATCAATCAGGGCGTCAGTACTCCAAATTAAAGATAAATTAAAAGTCAAACATTGCACCCAGAAGCTAGAGCTGTGTAACTCACAATTAGATTGTAGTACACTGTCTAAAGATTATCCTGGTAAATAGATATCTCAACACACACACTCTTTCTTTTGTTTTAATCTTAAAAAAAGATAGTGTAAAGAAAAAGTACAAAGGAAGGAAGCGCAAATTATCATTCTAAAAAAAAAAGGGGCGGGCTCGATCGCGGATATGATATTTGGTTATGATTATAAGGCCTTATTAATTAGGGTGTTGCTGTTGCTGTTGGCATACTTTGGTTTCTAAAGCCAAAGTGCTCCAGCATCTCTGAGCATTTTCTTTAATGAGCCATTGAGGTGAAGGGTCATCACTGTGTTGGCTGAACCCACAAACTTGCCACCAATGAAAACAGCTGGCACAGAGGGGTTGCACCCCAATCTCATGAGACACCTTTCTATTTCCTTCCCTCTCGAGTCTTCGTCAAGCTCACATATTGCAGGGCCTACCCCTAGCTCGTAGAAAAGCCTCTTAATCGCGTGGCACATCCCACATGAGCTCTTGCTGAAGATCACCACTGCCTTCTGAGATGCCAATTTCGCTACTCGATCCATCTCTATTAATATATATATATATATTTTTTGTATATATATAAGGTGAGAGAGAAGAGATAGAAAAATAGTAGATATGATATGAGGATGTATGAGATATGAGGAAATTGGAATGGTTTAGTTTTGTGATGTCATTGAGGGTTGAAGGGCTTGTGTATTTATATATCAAGAGGATGAGGACAAAGACACACATTAAAAGGGTTACGCGAGGGTTCTCTTGAATGTGTTGTTTGGTATCCAAATTAAAAAAAGAAAAGGATGAAAAAGTGAAGGTTCTTTATTATGAATTGATGCTCAGAAATACCATTGATTTGATAGGGACTTTTGTGCTGTGTAATTAAGTTAGCTAGCTTGTTGTACGACAGAGAATCTCTTAGGCCATAAAGATAAGCCAAACGCTGCCGAAAGATGGACCGCATGAGAATTAGAGGGAGAGAAGAATGGATTTTCGTGGACGAAAATGCCCTTGATTACATACATCCGTATAAGAATGTCAACTATGGATGGGCCGGGAATGCAGAACGTGGGAAGAGCATGGAGACTGGAGAGGTGACTCATGCTGGATACGAATAGTTGCATCTCATCCGGAGAAAAATGTTCGGTTTATTTATTCTAGAATACATAGGCGGAATTTTGCATAAATTTTATGCAAAAATTCGCCTACGTATCCTAATATAAATCAACTAGCCATGACATGATTTCATGTTGAATGTACTACAAAATATTTCTTGCACCAACCCAAATGTCAGAAGCTCCTCAATTCGGAGATTAGGGAAAATAATTGAGATTTTCTGAAGTCTATAGCAGTTTGTCCATATCATTATAATTAATTTGAGAAAAATATATCTAGCTAATTAATATACCAATAAAAAAGGGCGCTTACATAATTCAAATATTAATCTAGGTTTGCATGATTTTCACCGGAGGGTGTTTTGACTTGTTCATTTGGATTGATCGTATCAATTGCATTTATGCCCTTTTTCTTTGGGGCGGTGGGTTTTCGCCTAACAAGATTGTTGTAAAATCGAAAGGGTGTTAAAAAATCGTAGAACGTAAAATCGTAATATAAAAAAATCGTAAGAAATCGTAAAAATGTTTGAAATATTGATAAAATTGTTTTGATGAAAAAAATTGTAAAAACGTATAATCGTAGTGATAAATCGAGATTTTAACAACTATGCGCTTAACATAAAATGTCAATCTCAATTAAAACAACACGCAATGACTTTTTTGCCCAAAATTGATAGGGCTTGTTAAAGTAAGAAATATAATTATAATCAGTGTACAAGAGTTAATTAAATTTCAAGAATATCCTCGTTAACCCCATTTATATTCTTGATCGTTGTTTGTAGCCCAAGCACAAATTGCTGCCATATTTAGTTTCCTGCATTTTATTCTATATTTTATTAATTAATGCTTGTGATGTTAATTTGTTGTTACTGTTATTTTTAAAGTAATTTTTTTAATCATCTGATTTATATGATATAAGTATTAAATACAGCGTTATTTGAAAAATAATAATTAACCAATAAAGAAAAACTTGGAATACGTTCTCGCTAGTCGCTACTAACTCTCCAAGTACATATGCATTTCTTTAAGCAGAATGAAATGAATACGAGTTTTATTTATTTATTTATAGTAAATTGTAAATGCACGTTCTGTCGAGGAAAACAATGAAAAAGACTTTGTACCAAAAAAATGGAATATGATGAATGTACGCTGCAACCAGCATGTATCAAATCCTATCATATCATATATATATCACATCCCATTTAAAAGACTATACCAACTATATATGTAGTACTATAAACATTTCAATTGGTCAGAGGGTTTGCAATCAAATCCAATCTTATCAGTAAGTCTACGCTCCTAAAATCAGAATATGGCAAGCTTTACTTGAGTCATTCTACCAATGTAAGGAATCAACGTTTAAAGCAAGATGTGTCACGTGACCAAAATTCGGTTATTATAGAATATTGAGGTGCGATCTTCCTAAGTGGATAACCAAATCAATTACTAGGATACGCATAATATAATAACAAACTATTTCTAAAGTCCAAATCTCCCCGAATAATAACTCAATAAGTTTCATTCAAAAAAAAAAAAAAAAAACTCAATAGGTTGCAATAGCATTAATTTTTACAAGATTTTTCCCTTAATAATCTAGGTAATACTTATTTTGTTGTCTAGTTTAATTAATAATTTAGTAGTTAGTTGAACCAATTGAATCCAAACTTGTGTCTTCCTAGTTTAGTTTTTAAGATATTGGATTTGAGTTTTATATAAGCAAACTTTACCTATAATGTAAGGTTTCGAATTTCACTTCCCCAATAGATGTAGAGCAGGTGATAAGTTCCACATTTATGGATGTAGAGACACCTCGTTTCATTATGTCTATTATACTCTACAGTCTACACGCAATGATCTAGTCATTACATTTTACGAAAAATATAAATAGCAGAAATTGCCAAATAGTAACTAACTAATTAGTACTTTCTCTCTCGTTAAACTGTATATGTATAGTCACGGTTTGAGAAAATCGGGCAATGAAAAAAATAAACAGAAAGACTATTTAAAGGATTTGATGGATGTTTGTTAGCTCAGACTCTTTGTATTTAATTTAGTTTTTTAGCTAGGTTGTGTTTACTTTCATATCCGTTATCTTTAAGAAAGAATAATCAACAAATTTATTGAGATAATTATAATAAAGGTAAGCCAAAATTGATGAAACTCCTGCTCATGATTTAGAGAGTAAAATTGTTAGAGAGTTATTTTGAAAATGGGGAAAAGAAATTCTAAGAAATTAATTATACAGTACTCTATGATAAAAGTGAAGTGTAATAGTTGAAGATTGAGAAATAAATTAACTCATGCTTATGGATTAAGGTCGGCATGAGTTATAAGGTCATTTTGCTGAAGATATATGCGCTGCCGAAATCAAGGACAAATCATAATGCTCGTGGGAATCATAGGCAGGCAATCTTAATAAAATCTGCGAATATTTTTCTTGTTATAATTAGGGAATAAATCAATAGTATAAATGGCAAAAGCTCATGATCAACAAGGTGTTTGTGTATATATATATATATATATATATATTCATCCATGTTTTATTCCTCAAGCAAAAAATAAAAATAAAAAATGAGAGAATTTTCCTTTTCGATTGTGCTTTCGGGAGGGTTTTCGATACTTCGCGAGAGGCTAAGCTATTCAATTCTCTTTGTCTAGTATCTACAAAAGCAATAGTAAAGGGTAGATATTATTTAACATATATTATGGCTCTTTTTTGTTTTTGGATACATTATTATGGCTCTTTGATTTGGTCCTTTTCTTCCCCTCTGCTAATTAGTGTTTTAAGAAAATAGCAATTTGTACAGTTGTGTACTTGTACCAACCCACATAATCCTAATTTTGTGATGCCATATCCGTCATTGCGTTTTTGCAAAATATTCGATCTTTTATAGCTTATAAAGCTAAAATATTCTTTCTCCAACTTGGCCACCATCATTCTTCTCCTTCACACGTACCTTGTACATAATCTCCATCTCTTGTCTGTTTATGTATGTACATGTTAGCTCCACACATGATGATATAATCGTTAAATTTTCCATATATGTAACATAATTAATCACGAAACAGTAATAAAACTAACTGTTGATACAGATCAAAAGGATAATGATATATTATATCGTGATGGTTGTTATCGCGAGACTGCATGTGAATAGTATTCACTGTCAATCCTCAAAATTCTTTATTTGAGGTTTTAAGTTCTGCTAGCATAGCATGATTATATAATTTCATGGAGAGCTTAGTTTTATCTTTTATAATTTGAGAAGGCAGCCGAATTTAAGTCCAGGTAACTTTTAAAAACAGAAATTTTATTGATTTTTATGTTATTTAATTAAGAATTATTATGTTATTTTTTAATTTTTTTTTTTATAAAAACACTATATATCATGTTGAGATTTCTTATTTAATCAAGATTTTATAGTTTAGAAAATTAATATTTGATTATAATTTTCATATTTAATTAAGATTTATCTAAGACTTTTATTATCTATCTTTAGGTTGTAATTAAATATCCTGTAGGTATTAATTATATGTAAATGGGAGACTTTTACATAATTAATAATTAAATTTTTATAAAAAGTATATAAAACTTAACAGCCTACCCTATAGAGGAACACTCTTTAAGCATATTAAGGAAGAATCCTGACAAGAGAGTACTTCAATTTCAATTTGGATTGTTATACATCAATTTCATATCAAGGCCTAATTTCGATTTGCTGCAATTCCTGCATGTGTTCTATCATGGAAATACTGTTGTATACTCTATAAGTACTGCTTGAGGATAAATTTTATGTACGGTTACATGAACGAACGTAAAGAAGTGGCCCTTGGCTTCTACATAGGGACAGTTGATGGAGGCTAAAGTACCTTAAATCTGTAGAGGAAGGAAACCTCTTAACATATGGTGTGCGCATTTGCAGCTTTTTTTTTTTTGTCCGGATCATGTTGCTATCGAAAAACGTGGCGCCATGTGAGACTAGACAAACATATTAGGGTATATGTGAATGTAAAACGCTCCTGGTTTTTGTACGTGAACATCACTATCACTTGCACCACAATTATTCCTTGAGATAACCAAACAAAGAGCAAAAAATAAAGATAATAATAGCTTTTGGATTTAAATGGATTTTTCTAGAGATTATCTAGGACACAGCCAAGCATGCTGCATGCATTATCTAGAAATTTCCCAGAATATTTATTTTTCTCGTATAATAGGACGTACAAGTTTAACAAAGTTCTATATATACTGCATGCATTACTACAAATGTTTTCATATTTTCATAATTAATAATTGTGAATATTAATTAGATAAACATATATAATGGGGTTGCTAAGAAATCTCCCAAGCCATCCACGTGATTGTATTCGCGCCATGTCCCAGTGACCAGAGTGCAATATGGATTTCTCTCTTTAGTCTTCACCATAAAATTAGAGCTTTGGTGCTTCATTCGAGTTTCTTTATCATCGTTGATTTATTACAAAGAATTGGGACAAAAAATTCTCTCACTCGTTTATTTTTATTTTTATGACAACCCTAAGTACCTGTAGTTAACAGAATTAAAGAAGACGACCTTAAACAACAATAATCATCAACAAATATAAAAAAAAAACTCGTGTATGGACCACGTCGCTGCCGTCGTGAATCCCACCGGAAAAAGAACGATAGTAGTGTTAAATTAATTAGCAAAATTGGTGGACGAACTCAACGACTTGCCCAATGTTAATTATATAAGCTTTCAAGAGCCGATGAACTGCAGACTGCAGGAGTATCTCTATTTCATCAAACAAGCCATTCATAAATACTTGTTAATGCTTTATAAAGTAATTTAACTTGTCTATTAAGTTCGTATGACTTTATAAAAAATGTTAAATTAATAATTATGAAAAAATTAGTAAAGCTTTTCATTATAATATTATTTCTAGTAACTGAAATATATTATGTATTATTATAAATACATTTTTACGTTATATATATTTTATTTTTTTTAGTACATTTACGTTATATATTTAATGTTTACTTAGAAGTAAGAAGATTCATATATATATATATATATGTGTGTGTGTTTTGTTAGAGAAATATAAAATTATTAATGTCATTTCATCCAAAAGTTTAAATTTTTGGGTTGAAATAGTTTTTTATATGTTATCAGAGTCCACGTAATTAATTGGTTATCAGTTTGATCATCACCACCTGATTGTATTAATAAAAATAATTAAATATTGTGAAGTATATCTTATCACAGATCAGGTCTGATATATCATCCACCCTTCAAATTCAATGAATTCTCGTATGAGAAGAAATGTTAGAAAAATATAAAATCATTAATAATTTTTTTCTGAAAGGATAAATATACTTTAATGAGTTTTTTTAATTCTCTTTTTAACGTTTAAAAGGTTTAATTAAAAAATGTTTTCTTCTTTGAAAAATAAAAATAAACAGGGATAATTCAAAAAAAAATCACATCAAAATTAAACTAGTATATTTTTCTTGCTTTCAAGGAATGGGACGGGTGCTTGAAAGATGAAGAAAGGATATCAGAAGCTCAATCCTTGAATGATATCGTTGCGTTCTTAACCAAGTGTAGTCTAGCGCAATAAATATTCAATTCCATAATAAAAATTATTATTATTATTTATTTATTTCTTATAAAATTTGTTTTATAGGTTCAATATTTCTCATATTACATGAGATAAAATTATTTTTCGTAACCAACTAAAAGTGTTTTGGGTTGGACCGTAGGAAATAATTTTTTATTCGTTGACACGAGAAATACTTTTCTCATATATATTATGGGTTTGTTTTTTCTAAAGTTATTTTAGATAACTTTATGTAATGTTCATCGAAACGACGTCGTTTTGAAGAGAAAATTATGATGTTTTTATAATTTTAATTTATTCTAGGGTTATAATAGTCTTTACCATATTAATTTTTTAATTTTTTCAACCTCAAAACAACTTTGTTTCAATGAACATTAAATAAAATTGTATAAAGTAACATTAGATACTTTTTCCCCATGTATTATATATATATATATATAGTTTTACATCCCAAAAAGTTGCCATTGATAAAATAATTTGAAACATTAATCGTATGATGATTGAGAAAGATTAGAGGCGTTGACAGTCACTTAAAAACATTTTCTTGCGGCAACAATATTCATGTTACATAAATCATATACAGTTACTAAAACTATTGTAAAATACTATATCGCAAAAGGATATGTTAAGAAAATTATATACAATAGTATATATATAGGACAAGTTATCACAAATTTATTATTATTTAAATTATCTATCTTGTTGTTTACCAAAAAATATATATATATCTATCTTGTTCCAGTTGTCACAAGTAATTACTTTTCAATTCAACTCCTGATGTATACCTTCAATCAAATTTCCCTTTCTAGAATTGGATGCCAATCTTTGTAGCAAAAAAAGAGGTCCCAATTGGATAAATTCAACTTTTTTTCCAACGCAGCAGATGCTTCAAAGATAGATAAGGCAGAAACTTCATTATTAGAAAAAATAATAATTATAATATTGATCAACTACTAAATAATAAATACAGAGCCTCTTTTTTTTTTTTTATCATGATTGTCAAATTATTGAAATCTAAAAATTTAATTAATTTATTCGATTGGCTCCCAGGCATTACTAGTATTGTACTATACTACTACTCATTCCCCAAATGAAAGTAGTATATACGCAAGTATGCAACCGTACGTGTAAAAATAAAACACGAAAAATGTGATTTTGTACCGAGAATCAAATAACAGTAAATGAAACAAAAGTAACAACTACGAAGGGGGGATATATGCCCACAAAAAATTTTAGTCCGTACCAGTGACTCGTTTTTGTTTCCGTATGCATGCATGGACACAGATTCGTTTGTAGTAAAAAGAAAGCTTCGATAAATCACTTTCAACAATGATCAAAGAACATTGAGAAACCGACCCACATATCTCATCAATGATTCTCCACTTTTCTCCTCAGCCACCCTATCTTTTTCTTTGATAAGAATGTTTAGCGATGTCAATCCACCACAGCAACCAACCAACCGTACCTTCCTTCCTCAAAGGCTCAAACCCCTATATAAGCATGACACATTTGGCCAAAGTTGAAACACACCTCACAACAAAACCTCAAGTGCACATTCATTCCTCAGTACTTATCTACATTTCTTCATATAATTAATTGCTTTGCTTAATTTGTGTTTAGCACACTCTAATTCACAAACTAGCAGCTTAATTTCCCCACTTTCTGCATTCTACCCCATTTAATTTTGACATCATCACTATGGACAGGGTAACAAAATTGGTATCAGAGAGGCCAGTGGTGATTTTCAGCAAGAGCACTTGCTGCATGTGCCACACCATCAAGACCCTCTTCTGTGACTTTGGGGTGAATCCAGCGGTTCATGAACTCGATGAGATACCAAGAGGTAGAGACATTGAGCAAGCTCTTTCAAGATTAGGATGCAGTCCCTCTGTGCCCACAGTGTTCATCGGTGGTGAGCTTGTAGGTGGAACCAATGAAGTGATGAGCCTTCACCTTAACCGGTCCTTGATTCCAATGCTTAAGAAAGCAGGAGCTCTTTGGGTTTGATCAGAGATAGTTCTTAATTGACCCTCACATGCATCAGCCACAAATAAACCCGTTTTGGTTATATATATATATATATAATGATAGGATTATATATCCATATTATTAATATAGAGTTTATGGCATACTAGGTAATAAATAAGGCTAACTGCAGTTAATTAGCCTTTTTTTTTGTTTATTTAATGTAATGTTATCTTTTTGATAATTATAATAAATATAAACCTTGTTAAAAGAATAACTAGTACTAATGGAATAATAACAAACAGAAGCCGTGCGATTCGTATTTATAAGCTAAGTGGCATATTTATAATAAGACAAAAAATTATATAGTAGTGTGATTCGGTTACAAGCCATCTTGTTCTAGCACTTAATTAGTTGACGAGGGATAAATGCACAAACTATAATAAACGCACTGATATAAGTGAATTCGACATATGTGTAACACGTGATTCCTTTTGATCACATCCTCAAATAGTTAGATGCCGAACTAAGATAATAGAAAAGAAAAGAAAAAAATAAAAAACAAGTGGAGCATATCATGGAGTTAAAATAGATTCTGATCGAAGTCTTAAATGGAGGAAAGCTGGTTGCCTCGAAGAGAAAAATTCAGCAATAAGTTACTCTGAAAGCAGAAGCAAAATTCCTGAATCTATGATCATTGTTATTGAATTTTTAAAATCTGTGATTTATTGTCCTTCTCCAAGACCTTTTAGTTTAAGATACAACACCAGCTAATCTATATAAATAATGTATTCATGACAATTCTAAATATGGAGGGATGCATGCATATAAAAGATACTTCTACCTCTCATCTATTTAATTTTGTTTTGTGTTTGTCACATAAAATCTCCACTATTTCTAATTAAAACTTACACAAAATTAAAACCCCTCCTATTTTATAAACGCATATACATTAAGTCCAATTTGTGATGAAATTTAATGAAAATACCCATAATAATTTACCCAAACTCTAGATCTCATATTTTAATCAGCCGGAGGTCAAGATCTATCTTTTCTTCACTTTCCCTCCCTCCACCTGCTATTGTATATGTCCCCTCCTCTTTTACTTGATTTAGTGGCTGTTAGCAGGCCGCGTCAGGTCGCCTCGTATTCTTTCCGTTTAGCTTTTGGTTTTTTCTTTATACCCAAAAATAAAAAATAAAAAAAATTATTGAAATTTTTATCATTTAGTATAAACTTTCTAAGTTTAAAATTCTTTCTATCCTTGGAGTTGGAGCAAGCTAAAGCCTCCTGTTGATGAATTGCCTCCTCAGAACAAGAAGACCCATGGTTAAGAAACAGACCTGCTTATACCAAAAAAAAAGACGTGGAATTATATTCTTCTTTTTTCTCCAAACAACTGCTTGTGCCTGAAAAAACGCTGTATTTTTATGACCATAGTGAACCCATTTTTCCCGGGATTTCTGAAACTAAAGCCTCACTCAGTATACTCTTTTGAAGGCTCCTTTGGAGCAAGATTACGGACACAGAATCCAGGATAAGCAGAACACCCGTTAAATAGTACTTCCAAAGACGTTTTGTTGAAATTCAAAGATTCTTCAATTTGAGGAAAGTAGTTAAAAATAAAATTTTACGTAAAAATATAAGAGAAATAAAAAATTATAAAATATAAAATCGTAACGTAACAAAAAAAATTATAAAAAATTGTAAACATATTTTGAAGAAAAAAATATTAAAAATATAATGATAAATCAAAATTTTAGTGCAGGCCTCGTAACAAACAGATGGATGTCCTTTAAAATAAACATAATTACTCTAAAATAATTTAAATACAAAAATATAAAATAAAATATCATTTTCTTAAAAAATACTGAGAAAAACTAATCAAATTTAATTTAATATATAAAAAAATAACGAAATAAAAAGTTTAAGTTGCATCCATATAGTTTTAAATGTCTGTACTTGAGATATTTGAAGATTACGTATCCAACCACCATGGTACTAGTCCAACGATCAGCAATTTTTCAGGAATGGAATTAATTACTATTTGATTCAATTCATCTGACCTCAACCATTACACTAACTTACAAACTATAATCAACTACCGTATGCCGTACCCAACCAAATCCTTCTTATGCGGAGCAAAACAATGACCTGACACTGACACTCATACCGTGCTCAGCGTTAACGTGCGCATCCTCCGTGTCTCTCTATTCTCTATGTTCTGTTGCCCTCTCACACGAAGCATTGAATTTGGTGTTCCTTTTTATTATTATTTTTCTTTTTACTCGATTTTTTTTATATTTCATTATAAGTCTTAAAAATATATATTTTTTAATAAAAAAAATACGGAATTCAATGCTTCCAGTATATTAAATTGAAGTTTATTTGTTAATGTTGCTGAACCATTATCGTCCAATAACCCAGCATATTTTAAATGCAACGGAAATAAACACTTTCTTACTAAATGGAAAAAAAGAAAAAGAAATATAAAGAAAAAAATATAAAAAAAGTAATATAAATATATTATTTTTTTCATATTTGATAAAAAAAATATCTCTAAGTGTTCGATATATCTATATCATCCATCATAAGTGAAAATATTTTGCCCATAATAAGCCTAACAAAAACCATATTCGTTTAGACAGGCCTAAAAATATTAAAAACAGACCCGTTTAACCTGGCTGAGCTGACCCATTTAACAGTCCTAAAAATCGCTTCATATATTAAAAGCATTTGCCAATTTTAATATATTAAAAGCAGACGCAATATGAACGAACACAAGTTATAGCTAGCTACGTTGTACGTGCCTTATTTTTCCAATAATGGAAGAGTTAAATTAGTTGTGTCCAACTACATCCAGGTATCTTGATGATTTTATTTCTTTCCACACTCATTCTCAACCTCTTAGCATCATCCCATTTTCCAACAGTAGCATATATGCTAGAAAGAAGAGAACAATAACCAGTTGTGTCACTCTCCAACTTAATGCAATGCTGGACAGCTATTTCCCCGAGCTCCACATTGTTGTGTAATCTGCAGGCAAGAAGCAGAGCTCCCCAAACTCCAGCATTGGGTTGCATTGGCATATTTATTATAAGCTTATATGCTTCATCCAGCCATCCTGCCCTTCCTAAGAGATCAACCATGATTCCATAGTGATCAACTGAAGGCACAACCCCATTGTCCTTCATGGAGTTGAAGCATTGGTAACCTTCTTCAACCAATCCAGCATGATTATAGGCAGTTAAGAGTCCAATGTAAGTGACTACATTAGGACCAATACCTTCTCTAAGCATCTGTTCAAATAACTTGATTGCATCAGATGCCCTACCATTTATTCCACATCCGTAGATCATTGCAGAATATGCAACCAAATCCCTCTTTCTCAGGCCATGAAATAGCTCATATGCCTTGTCAATGCTTCCACACTTTGCATACAGGTCAATCGAAGCAGTAGCCAAATGATCATCCAATACAATTCCAAAGTCATTCATGTGTGACACAATCCAGCACCAATGTTCTAGATCCCCCAATTGTGAACATGCTGATATAACACTAGCTAAAGTCATCTTATCTGGATGTACATAGATATCTGGCCTAAGCATGTCATTAAATAGTTCGAGAGTTTCCTTGGGTTTGCTATTTTGAGCATAACAAGCTATCATAGCATTATATGAGCACAAATCTTTCTCATCCATCTGGTCAAAGAGCTTCCGAGCAGAGTCAACATCCCCACTCTTTGAATACCCAGCAATCATTGTTATCAAAGAGACACTGTTTTTCCTCGGCATTGCATCGAAAAATTCTCTTGCTGACACTATGTTTCCACAGTCAATGTAACCAGCAATCATTGTATTCCAGGAGGCCAGGCTTCTCTCGGGCATTTGTTGAAACAAAGAACAGGCATGATCCATATTTCCTCCTTTGGCATATCCAGCGATCATAGAGTTCCAAGATATGACATCTTTCTTGGGAATGTCATCAAAAAAATCTCGAGCCTCATCCAAGTTGCCAGCTTTTAAAATTCCATACAACAGGGAATTCCAAGAAACCACATTTTTGTCAGCCATTTCATCGAACACCTTCCGTGCAATCCCCATATCGCCCATTTTCGAATACAAATCAAGAAGTGCCGTTTGTACATAAACACAAGTATTAAATCCAAATAAATGAACTTGACCGTGAATTGATACACCACCCAACTTATCCTGAAGCCCAGCACATGACTTGAGTGCAGAGGATATAGCATATGAACTTGGACACAACCCCATCCTCTGCATTTGAACATAAAGAGAAACGGCTTCAATGAATTGACCCTTTTGAGAGAAGAATCGAATAACACAACCCCAGGAAAAGGAATCTGGATTGCGCAGATGGTGAAGAATTAAGTGAACATAGTGTACAATAGTTTTGTAGTTAGTGACATCGCGGAGAAGGATGTGATGGATTAAAAGGGGTTGAAGATGGGTAAGACCATTGATCAAGATATGGGCATGGATTTGATTTGCCTGCTTCAGAGTTGAACACTTCTTCATCAAGGTTATCAATTTGGGAGCTACCATTTAAGCTTTCCTAATGTGTTCGATTAATTATGAGCATTGCAAAGTTCAAGTACTTGCGATTGCAAATGTTGATTAAAAGAAACGAAGGACATATCTAATCATTTTTGTTTTTATTCATATGAAAACAGCTCCAATTATAGAACACCCATAATAATAACAATAATGATACTCATTGAAATGATTAATAGAATTGAACACAGTCAATAAGTGGAAAAAGGAAATAGAGAATCTACTTTTGTCACTTCTCCCACAACGGGGAAAAAAATTTCGGGGACCCGCATGATATGATACGTATTTTATTTTTATTAAATTATTAATAAATAATTTATTTTAAAATTAAATGAGAAAGTAATTTAATAAAAAATAAAATATATATCATATGAGTTAAAAATATAACGAAAATTCTGTAGATTCGTTGTATTGAAGATGTTCTCAATGGGTCTTACATCCTTTCTTGAACCGATACGACAAGCGACACATGATACGATATGACATGACACTCTGATACGTCAATCATAAAAAAATATGAATTTTGACACGTTGGGACACGTTTTAATATATTTTTAATTTATATAGCGTATATTTCATTTAATATTCAATAATTTAATAAAAAAATAAAACTAAATTAATAATACTCATAAACACGTTATGAGGATGGAAGCTTTAATAAAAAAAAATAAGAACTGGGATAAGAGAGAGATAATATCAGATAGAGAGATCAAATCAAATTAGAGAGAGATCAGAGAGAAGGAGATACAACAAGAGCGTAATAGGAATTGACAACAATGATGCTGAGATGATCTCTTATCTACTTCAGGGGAAAAAAGCAAAAAAAATAAAAAAGGTATGATCAGGTGTAAGCTTTATTAATATATTTCAATTTTTTTTTAAAAAAGTAATATTTTTTACGAAGATGTCATTTGACCGTGTCAGAGCATGTCGGGAAGTGTCGTACACAGTCAAATTCGCATGTCAAAATAGTCAACGTGTCAGGAATGTTGTCCGCGTGTCAGACACCGTGTCACCAAACGTGTTGACATGTCAGAGCGTGTCGGACACGACACTCTCTGGTTTTTGGAGTGTCCGTGCTTCCTTACTTAGAACACGACACCAACACCGACTTGTGATAGGGTCTATCCTTTTCTTCATCACCCAAATCCCGAGAAAGCTGACCCCACATATGGTAACTTTACCTGAAATTAATTTTCAATAATAAAAAAACTAAATTATTATAAATTTTTTACCTTTACTCATTGCTACCTTTACAGTAACTAGTTATTCAATTGAGTTCATCTCAACGTTAACTTTGAACAAGTATCCACTATCCAACAAAATCCTCCTTATGCGGAGTAAAACAATGACCACACGCACTGCTACTGACACTGACACTGTGCATAGCGCTAACGTGCGCACCATCTGTGTCTCTTTTCTCTATGTTCTGTCTCCATCTTTCTCTCTCTCTCTGCTTCACTTCATCATTTCCAGCTAACGCCATTTAACTTCGTTTGTTCTTTCTCATTATTAATGTTGATCCATTCTCGTCCCATAAGCCTAACAAATACCATACTCGATTCGGCGTCGTTTTATTTTCCAATATTTTATTTTTAGTTTTTCAAACAATTTCCTGAAAGATCAAACACCAGGGGGTTGTTCTGCTTTTCGTGTGACTGACTCCGCGACAGGGTGAGCTTTTCTTGTCCACCATACAACGTTTGTCTTTTGTCTTCTTTTTTTGACCTTTGTTGACTTTCATGCTCGCAATCTGGTTAGTAAGTACTCTTTTTCTCTGGGCACGGGAAAGTGGTAGCATTTTTTCTAGAGAAAAAATCTCTTTTTATTATAATGTCATAATGTGGCTTCCCTTTCTGGGATTTTAGGGTTTCTTCTTCACTCAGTGTACGGTTGATTCCTTCCTTCTCTAATAAGCAACTCTACTTTGAGCTTTCAACATGTTTGGGTTCTCTCGTCGCCGTATGAAACGAGCTAGGTAAACTTTTCTCTTTCTATCTCCATTTTTTCTTTAAATTTAGGATTTTTATTTTTATTTTTGCCACACTCTTTTGCTTCACTTGATTTGATTGCATAAGTTGCTAATTGAGCTGTAAGTGTTTTGAAGTGATGTAATATTATCTCGTGTGTGTGTGTGTGTGCAGTAGATTGAAGGTTCAGCTTTCTGACGCCACTCAGGGAACTAGAAGTCCTGTAAGGCAACCCAAACGAAATGGAAACTCCAATGTAAGCTTTTCAGCTTCATTCCTTGTGGAATTGAAAAAGTTAGTTTGGCCACTGAGTTTTTTTAGCTTTTTTTTTTTTTTTTTTTCAGGGAGAAGGAGATGCAGGATCAGGTGGTCATTCTGATGAAATTGATTGCCAGTCTTCAGCTGCTGCGCCTGAGATAAGTACTTGTGCATCAGGAAGCTCGGAGAACTGGATGGTGTTATCAATTGCAGGGGATAAACCCACTCCTAGATTCAATGTCTGTGAACTGTAATGTTGTTATTTTTTTTCCGTATTTTGTTTTTTGGGAAGTATTGTTGTTTGGTCGGTTTTCATCTATAATGGCAGTTATGGCAATGCCTGAACTACTTTTATTCATTGTGAAAAGCATGCAGCAGCTGTCATTGGGAACAAGATGATAGTGGTTGGCGGTGAATCTGGAACTGGAATGTTAGATGACGTGCAGGTATAAGTGGGAGCTTGTTGCTTAGAATTAGAATTGGAGCATCAACATTAATATTACTTGGTTGTTGGTTCATCTTAAAAACTGTGATCTTGGTGCTATTCATTTTTGTTGTCAGGTGCTAAATTTTGACAGCTTTTCATGGACCACAGCGTCCTCGAAGCTTTACTTGTCGCCTAGCAGTCTGCCACTAAAGATTCCAGGATGCAAGGGTCATAGTTTGGTAAGTATATCCTATTTGCAACATATTCTCAGTATACTGGCATTTTAATTATGTTCTGTTCTAGTGTTCTTGAGAATGTTCTCCTCTTCTTGTTTCACTTCACATTTGGCATTGCTTCACTGTGCTAGACATGGAATAACATGTCTTTCAAGATGGAAAGTTATTGAAATTGAATTTCTCAAAAAAGTAGAAAAAGCTGCCCACAGCCCACCCTTATGTGCCCAAGCACACTATTCATCAGTAAATTCTGGCTGCCGTAAATGTTCTGCTGCTTGATGATATGATCAATCGAATCTCATTGTGTGGCTACCTTAGTCACATGAAGTCAGGGGAGGAACTAGAATTTCAATTTCGGAGTGGCCAACACCAAATTATTTATACATCATCTGGAAATTATGGGGCCTCAAACTTTGAAGATAATGTTAATTAAAAGCATTAGAGATATAAGAGGAATAAAGATAAAAAGGTAAATATTCAATTTTCTTATGCTAAAAATGTCAAGGAAAATCCAATGGGAATGCAGTCCATAGTAGCGGATAGATACTTGACAGGGAGGACAAAGAAGGGTATCATGGCCAGTTCTATATACTGTTGCAATCGAGCTTTGCGTCCCTTTTCTAGTACTTCCCTCAATCAAGTGCTTTGCGTTGAATGGCCTTTTGTTTTATTTGTAATTGAAAATGATTTGTGTCCAGTCTCAGTTCTCCAATGTGGGATGATTATTTGACTAGGTTTCCTGGGGGAAAAAGGCACTCCTCATTGGAGGGAAAACAGACCCTGGAAGTGACAGAATTTCAGGTTCATATTCATGTTCTTAACTTTTATTTTAAAAAAAAAAAAAAAACATGTAGAACTTCTGTCGCGTTTAATGCTGTGAAATTGTTCTGATTGTATTTTTTATATTTGTAGTACGGGCATTCGATACGGAGACAGAGTGCTGGTCACTCATGGAGGCAAAGGGAGACATACCGGTAGGTTTTTCCGTTACATAACTGTGCAAATGCCTCAGTGGTAGAAATTGCTCTTGGGCATTGTCTCTACTGATTTAAATAACCATATATTATCAATAGTGGAAACAAAAAATTCTGTGAGAGGGGGCAAGAAATTTAAAATTCACACTTACTTAGGCGAGGTGACACGGGAGTGGGTCGATCAATATCAACATCAACAACATCTTTATCCCAAATTAATTGGGGTCGGTGGTAGATGAACCCAAATAAAAGATACAAAAAGGCAGAAAAAAGAAAAAGAAAAGTACAAATAAAAATAAAAATAAAAATAAATAAATAGAATAGTAAATATATATATTTATATATATATATATAAAAGTAAAAAAGAAAGGGGAAAGAAGAAGAGGGGGAAATGAAGGGGAAAAGGACTAAAAAGGGACCATCTGGAACATAGGAATAACAACGGGTTTAGCCAAATTTGAAAAACTTTCCAAGTTTTCTTCATACATGAGGATTAATAAGAACAAAAAAGGGCAAACTTATGTTACACTATCTTTCTTTTAAATTTGAATATAGTCCAAGACAAATGTTTGTTGAACTTGGGGGCGATCGTTGATCTTAGCCCCTCCACAACTTCACCACTGATTAGGGAGGATGATATTGGATTACATATTTTACTCCATCATATTAGTTTATCATGGTAATAATTCTTGATTAATTAAATTTTAAAAAAATTGAGCTAGGTGATGAATGACAACTGCAAGTGGATGGAAAATCTTTGTATCTTGATCAACATGATATTCTTCATGCATGAAAGGATGTAATTCTCATATTAGGTCTGACTAGTTACATTATGAGGAAGTCAAGAAAATAAAGAATTGCAGAGAAATAAAATCTGTAATGACACATTACCAAAACTAACATATCATCTTTTATTTTTGTAAAGAACCAATTCAACCCAAAAGCTTAAGCTGTTAGGTGAGGCTATATTAATGATTTTTATACTTCTCTAACATGTTCCCTCACACGAGAGCCAACTAGGCTTGAATGGTGGACAATACACATGCCCACCTACTTGTGTTAAGAAACTCCACAATACTTAATTATTTATTAATTAAATAGGAGGCGGTGAGGATCGAACTCGTGACACCGAGGCTCTGATACCATGTAAAGAACCAATTCAACCCAAAAGCTTAAGCTGTTGAGTGAAGCTACATTAATAGTTTTTATACTTCTATAACAATTTTCTTTAATTGAAATCTATGTGTTGATTTTGGCACCTGGAGCTTAATACATAGAACTAGGCTGCACTGACCAAAGATTCCATTCTTGGTAGGTTGCTCGCAGTGGTCACAGTGTTGTCAGGGCGAGCTCTGTTTTAATATTGTTTGGGGGTGAAGATGCAAAAAGGAGGAAACTGAATGATCTACATATGTTTGATCTCAAGTCTTTGACGTGGCTTCCACTTCACTACACGTAAGTGATTAAAAACAAAAAGAAAATTTGTAAAGGTTCGAACTTAGACATGAATCACATGATTATCTACTCATAATCACCTGATACAAATGATACGTTGCTTTTGAAATTATATTACTTCCAGGGGAACAGCACCTTCTCCAAGATTCAACCATGTAGCAGCTCTTTATGATGATAAAGTTCTTTATATATTTGGAGGATCATCTAAATCCAGGACCTTGAATGATTTATATTCACTTGACTTTGAAACGGTGAGTGGGTCTCAAATATGTCTATACTGCAATACCATACGGTGAAACTGCTTGCTTTCTCCACAATGCAGATTAAAACTTCATCCGCTATATAATGTGATAAAAATTTGTTCCTTCAGATGGCATGGTCAAGAGTAAAGATACGAGGTTTCCATCCTTCTCCTAGAGCTGGTTGTTGTGGCGTCCTATGTGGTACTAAATGGTATATTACAGGGGGTGGAAGCAGAAAAAAACGTATGTTCATAATATTAAACTTGCTATTTATTTATGTATTTATAACTTCTGTCACGGTTCATCTTCGGAGAAATAATTTATAGTTTTATACATTAGCCTTGACTATTTTCTTCTTTGGGTACCGACTGTATCATACTTATTACTCATGCCTTTCCTTTCCTGTCGTATAAGTTATGCCATTGATTGTATAAACTTTGTGAGCGTTTCTCTTATTTTTTCGTGTTTTTTGGGCTACATTTAACATTGGGACCTTGGAAATGGAGGAGCAATACTTTTATTGCAAAAAGATCAGATGGGGTTGTGAATTCTGCCTATAAAGGAAAGAAGGAAAAAAGAATATTATATATTAATAAACTTACATGCCTTTCAAGTTCTTTTTTTCCATGGCAAAAATTATATAGCTGAAATTATATTTTATATATTAGGTGGGAAGTGAATATTCTTAATGTATATTTAATGATAGTTAGTATTGATGCCTTTTTATGCATTGGGCAATGGTCTTTATAATTCAGTTTTAAAAGTCTTATTACTCTCCCTCTTCCTATTTCACACTCACTGTATAAACTTGAGATATTCTATTCCTTTTAAAATATTGTATTCTTACCCTACATTTTCCAGGACACGGAGAGACTGTCATATATGATATTGTAAAAAATGAATGGTCCGTGGCAGTTGCTTCACCTCCATCTTCTATCACCACCAGCAAGGTGTGTCTATCATTCATCTGCTGCCACCTACTGGCCTTATTTTTTACAATTTTTCTTTTTGTATTATTTAATCAAAATGGTATTGATAAATAATAATTAATTGTCCTTTGGTCTTCAAATATTACTTTTGGTCAACTTGTTTCTTCCTTAACTGTGACAAATTAGCATTGATTTTTCTTAATTGTTCAATTTAGCCTTGTGCGTTCAGATTTTGGTGTTAAGTAGGTTGAAATAATTACAGAATTTCACAAGACCACCATGTTGCTTAGTCTTTAAATCCGTCATTATATATATTCAAGGGTGAGAATCATTTTACAACGACGTAAATTACACTCTCAATCTTGATCTTTGATCCTATTTATATCAAATAGTTCTGATTTATCAAATATTTGAGCCGCTAGATGTAAGCAAATCAATTATCAAGATTTGGTATAAGACTTTTTATTCTTACACCGGTGTAAAAATATCCTGCCCCTATATTCAACCTTGATGAAATCCCTTGCTCTGATATTTTCCCGTCATTTTTTTAAAGATGATATTTTCATTGATTCTGCCAACCTTTGAGATTTTAAATTGAATCAATTCATTTGTTAAGCATCTCCTTACTAATAACATGATTATTTCTAGATGCCTTATATTTGGTATGCATGACCGTGCTTTCTTCTTGATAATGTAAAAGCACGTTTATAAGATCTGCTGAATTAGCAGGGCTTCAGCCTGGTACTCGTGCAACACAAGGAAAAGGACTTTCTTGTTGCATTTGGGGGATCCAAAAAAGAACCATCAAATCAGGTTTGACAAAAAGTATGAAATTAATGTTTCAGGTCATTCTTATTGAACTTACAACGTTTTTCTTTTTGACGTAACAGGTGGAAGTGTTGATAATGGAAAAGAATGAATCAACACTGGGAAGAGGACCAACTCCCAGTAAAGTTTCAACATCTATAGTGCCTGAAAAACATTCATCATCCTCTAGATTGGCCTCTCAACTTAATGATTGTTCCCAACGTTTAGTTGACTCTGTTGCTAGACAAAATCTAGCATCTGCAATTGAACATGGTTCTGGAAGGAAATCTCTGTCAGAATCCCTGGTTGTAGATCCCAATTTCCACCCCACCAACGTCTCTCTTCGTAAACAATTTGATCATGATGAAGAATACAATACAGATGTCAAGATTGACAAGAACTCAGACGAAAGTTCTTTCCATCGGGTAAAACACTTTTTTATTAATGACAGCCGTGTGTTCTAAATATAAAAACACTTAATGGATACCTCAAAGCATTGGATACTTTTCCAATGTGTTTTTTAAACATGATGGACACACCTTAGGCATTTACCTGATACACAGCCTAGAGTTTTCCACCTCTTTTTTGAACATGCATAAAGATAAATAAGGATTTTTTTGTCTCTGTGCTTAGTTCCTTTTGAGATACTATTCTCTCACTTTGTTGCATTTAGGGTAAAAATACTTCTTAATTTAAACATTGAGATGGCAGAACCATATATTGTGATGTTAAAACTTGTATTAAACATCAATATTTATTGCAATTCTATTGCATATATGCATGGACTGCATAGATTTCCGGTAATGAGCTGCTTATGGTGCAAGTAAGGTTTCTTGAAATAACTGCCATATTCTACTCTTGGTTTGCCTTATCCTAGCATTTATCCCCCCTTTCACCCTTCATTGCTTGTAGATAAAATGTATTTTATAATTTTCGAAGTCTAAGGTCTAAACCACGTATTATAATGTTGAAAACATCTCAACTCATACTAATGATGCTAACATCTATGACAAAAAATAAATAATGGAACTTGATATTTTAATTTGTGATACATTTCAGGCAGCAGATCACAGAACAAACGAAAATTACCAAGGTAATCAGATGAACTTTAGTGGAGCGAAGATCAATTTGGAGGAACAACAGGTGTTGGTATCTGGAGTTCCAAATCAACAAAATCAAGTATTTGAAAATGTCGCTCTAGAAAGTGATAATGTCTCATTTCATGAAAACAATAAATCAGGATCACTGTCTACTCCTTCAAATCTCTATCATTATTATGAAAGTAAAGTAGCTGCCCTAATAAGGAAAAATGGAATTCTGGAAGGACAATTGGCAGCTTCCCTGGCAAGCAGAGAAGCTGCAGAGAAAAGCTTATCATCTGTTCTTAAAAGCAGGCAGGAAATGGAGAAAAAATTGGCTGACGCACACAAGGAGATAGAATTACTAAGAGAGAAGCTGGCTGGTCTAGAGTTAGCCCAAGAAGAGGCTAATAGCCTTTCAAACATTGTCCACTCTGACAATGTTAGGCTGGAGCATGATGTGGCCTTCCTCAAGGCTGTTTTAGACGATACGCAAAAGGTACAAGACACATCATTTGATGTTAAAACCAGGATAGTTGTATACATGGTTATTATTGGCTGATTAAAAATTATTGTAGGAGTTGCACTCAACAAGAGGAGTTATTGCTGGAGAAAGAGCAAGGGCATTCCAACTACAGGTACATCTTTTGATTGCTTGGTGATCTTTGGCTGTAGCTGTTGTATCTTGGTGAAATTGAGGAGTCTGTGATGTTGGTTGTGTTTGAGTTTTTTGGTTCATCATGTTATAATGTTTTGATCAAACTTTCTTGGACTTCTTGTCATCTCTTTGTTTGTTTGCTGTTGTACAGTATGAAGTTTTTCATCTCAAGCAGAGATTGCAATCAGTGGAAAATAGAGCATCTACACCCAGAAAACCGTTTCATGTGCAGTGAAGTATATAGTTGGAGTAGCACTTCACTTGGCTCCCCAAACACTGAAAAAATCCATTTGTACATATATTTGAATCAGTGAATCACCATAGAAGTACTGCTTTTTCTGCAACACTTGATTGTGTAAATGTCCGTTTTTCCCCCCCTTTATAATTTTAACTATATTAGGCGAATTTAATTCCTTGGATGAGAGCAAATTCAAGGTTCCTATAAATCTCATAAACTAGAATTAATTCTTGGTTCCTTTTCTAACACGAAAAAACTTTTTAATCTTTCTTAGAACTTTAATTCAATTAGCACCAAGTTCTTCTGAAAATACACCTTGATCTAGAGATTAAATTTTGGGCAAGTCGTTTACTTGTTCTTGATCAAATTATCATCCTCTCCAAAATCTTTAAGCACTGTTCAAGTCAAGTTCAATATGAATTTGTTCTTAAATGTGAAAAATTTGTTAAACCATATGAAAATATTGCATGGTAGGCTAAAGAAATTAACATTTTTTAGTGCCTAATGGTTACGAGATCGAGTGATTGTATATTAAATTTAAACTTCTCATTGAAATTGGGCAATGCGAAATCTTATTTTTGTTAAAAAAGAGAGGATAAGCGATGTTTGAATTTAATCCCACGTCACCACGAATCACCATAAAATAATATATTGGGCCTTTTGGGTAAATGAGCTATTTATTGGATCAGACTAAAATTTGAGGCACTCAGCTGCTCAGGCCCAATTAGTGGCGATCGAACGGTTTACTGGAGGTGGTGAAGATGGTAATTTGGTCTGCGATTCGGGGGCATAATTGTCCAGTATGTTTGTGAGATCTGCAGCTATTTGTCCTATTTGCCCGCTTTTAAGGGATTGTGATCAAGCTAGGAAGTTCGGGTCTGGCCTGGGCTATTACCTCTCGGTTGGTAAGGAAATTATTTCAAAGTAACCATAGCACATGGTTAGAACAGAATCTGGTGATTGCCAACACTAGAGTTTATGACTCTTGTTGGCTTATTGTCTTTTTCACAACTTGCGCTCTAATCTAGTATTGCTGAAATGCACAAGTGCATGAGCATGAAGTTGCCCAAATAGATGGGGCACTTTTGCAACTGAAAAGGGCCTCCCCTTGTCGTAGTCGCATATAGTTGTATGTGACTACGACAACTACTCTCCGGATAGGGGAAAAAATCAAAGCACAGACTGGTTGGCAAACTACTCTCCGGATCTACCACAAGAAGAAGCTTACTGTTGTTATCGGTCCCCTCCCTCCTGGTGTTAGTCTTTTACTTTTAGCTGATATGGCAAACTTCTCTTTCTATTGTTCAGTTGCATCATTTCCATGTGTATGAAACAGCGCCTTAAGATAGTCTCAATCCGGATTCCTAATCACTCAAAATGTACCGGGTAAGCTTTTATCAAATACAAGGAATTGCATTTAGTAGATGATTTTAACAATAATCTTAAATAATTGATAAGGAAAAATTCTCTACACTGTTACATAGTGTTTGGTTGAAGTTTTTGGTGGAGATGCCCATCCATCTGAGTTTGGTAATTGTATTATCTCCTCTACCAAATTCATTTTCTTACCTTATTCCTAGTAATTGTATTATCTCCTCTACCAAACTCATTTTCCTACCATATTCCTAGAAACTAAACTTAAGTAATAAAAATGTGTAATCTTATCAATGTATTAACAACAGAATTTTAACCTTGCGGATCAAAATTTAATTTAAAATTTTAGAGGCGTGTAGTGAATGATTTACGAGTTTAATTTTGATTTATTGCGATAACAAATTTTAGAAAAAAAATTGTCAATTTTGTCAATCCATTTTATTCTAAAATCCGCCATAAAATGCAAATTGAGTCAGTAATGGACATCACTTTGCCTACGCATCAAAACAATATTACTACTTTATATCCAATAATAACTTGGTAAAATTAAAGTTTATGTTAGAACAACGGAACAATGGCTAGATACATTAACTTATTAGGTTTACACAGCTAACATGCAGATAAACACAACTAGTTCCACATCTAATGACACAAACACATGAGCGGTTACATCTTGTCAGAATTCCAAGTTGAAATGTATTTAAGGCAGCAATTTTCTGTTAGCATGCCCCTGACCAGAGTTATTCTTCCTCTGGTTCTTCTTCTTCCTGGAGAAGATTTTCTCTGTTGTCATGAGCCCAGAAACCACGCACATCTATGAGCATGCTGGCTACAGTTCCGCCCTGTTTGCAGGCCAGTAGATCACCCAATGTTATCTTGAGGGGATCCGCTGGCTTAACCATATCCCAGATTTCATCCCTTACATCTTCGATACAAAGTTCATAGTTGCCACCATCAATCCATTTGTGGTGTACATCTCTGTTTTTTTTTTTTTTTTTTTAATAAAAAATTAAAAAGGTTAGTCAGCAAAAATTTTAAGTAATAATGTTAAATTATATAATCACTAAATCACATTGTCATTTAAGGGACATTAAAGATCTCCGTGGGTTCATCTTCTAACTCATTTGTCACTGTCTATTTGAGACTTGCAGGACTTGCTCAAGTACTACAAGCAGGAAACAACAGTTTTTTTTCTATAGGAAGATTGTATCAGGCAACATCTCGGCATCTGGATGCTCCCCTTCTATTCTTCCAATAATTGCATTAAATATTCCATTAATTGTTTAGAATTTTGAAAACTTGATGTGTAAAATAATAATATCAATACAACACGTAAATTAAAACCAGAGAGCACATGAAAAATAGCAACGAAAACAAACCCTAATCAAAGATAGAGGTAAATACTTAAATAAATAATTAGTATACCAACAGCATGACATTTTACCTGAAAAGGGAGTGAATATCAGCTGTAGTAAGGTAACCCCTCCCTTGAAGATCAAGACACCGAAACAAGTATGTCAAGCCTTCTGGGGTGTCCTTGTTCTCTAAAGCCAGAACAAAGTCCAAGAAACTCTCAAAATCCATCTCCCGGGCATTCCCACCACCACTCTTTCCACGGCGAACATGTTCATCGTACACTACAGGAAGTACATATTATTTATTTAATTTATTTAAAAAAGACAATGAGGATCAAACTATCAATGACATAGTCACATAATTCAAGGAAAACAATACATGGGTAGCAACCACAGCTATTATTACCAATAGGAAATTGAAGGAAACCAGCACTTCCGAGTTTGGAATATGCAAACAGATGTCCATGCAAATGGTAAAACAGGCAAAATTTACACCGCAAAAACTGAAGAAAGGTAATAATTACTACCTCTCTCAATAAAAATCTCAGTCAGAGTCCCATCTGCATATTCTCGAAGCTCCTGCTTGCTCAATGTCCCATTTGCATCTTTATCAAGAGCAAGAAACATGTCTGCAGAAAATTAGGGATACACATAAACACAAATTGATAGGAAATAGTTTTAACCCTTATTATATTCATCATGAAATTCAGGCCTGTCAATGCATACACATTTCTCAGTGGAAAAAAAAATGTAAAGTAATAATTTAACAAGAAAAATCCCTAAAACTGCCCAAGCAGACATAATACAAACAGGAAAAGATGAAGTAGAATGGACCAGGAGCAGGAGATAAATGAATCGTGAAACCTAAAACTAAGTAAGAAACCCACCACATATACGTTGAGCAGAAGTCAACGAGAACCAGTTTTCAGCTTGTTCAGTGTCTGTGACTTCTTCTTCACTTTCCTGAAATACATAACAGCACACTCAACGTACAGCTTCAAATCAAATCTTAGAAGGAATGAGAACAAAATACAGTTCACAGTTACCATTAAAACAAAGCAAAGAATCGTGTCAGGTATAAAAAGATGAACACCTGGAGGTCCATAACAAGAGGAACCAACCAGAGAGAGAAATGGATAACATGATGTTTAGTTCTAAAGATATTAAGAAAACTTCATATGCAATCGACCTGGTGAAGCTCCATTAGTTCCTGGAGACAATTACTAAGCAACACTTTCTTGATACAGGCTTTTCCTGTAAGCAAAAAAAAAATATTTATGTAGAACTTTGATATTACTAGTAAGATTAAACTATAATGCATTAGCTAAAATTCAATCAGGCAAATGTTCATACATGAGCACAAACATTTCAAAATATATTGTTAAGATACAACTCAACCAACAACTTTGTTGCCCCAGCTAGCGCAATGGTAAACTGACATCATTTACTGCCCCTTCCTACCTACTCAACCTCATGAACCACCATTTACAATAATTGTGCATTTACACCTCATAACATAAAAGAGGTATATTAATGTTCCCTACCTCATGCTCAAAGCCTTATCAGTAGTAAATTATTTACAACACAATATCTAATCGGGTATTCATATAAGGTAATAATCCATCTATGGAATCGAATGTTCATATCCTTCAGATGCAAACCCTTCATGACCTACAAGTTATAACCGTACTAAAGAAACTAATTAGTAATATGCAAGTCTACCACTTTTGCTATCAATGTAATGTTAAAAGTTGTTCAAGGAAGAAGGAATGAAGAATAAGCAGCAGACAAGATGGCAGCACCAATATCAGTAATTGATTAGATTCAATAAAGTAATAAACCAATTGATGCTCTCTTCAACATGTTTTATGGTGCAAAAGATTTTAAAGTTAAACTAATAATGATCAACCTTGGTGGCAATTGATAGGGTATTAGATTCTATGCATCAAGAGCTTTTATTTCATAAAACTCTGGCAGACGACAGGATCATCTATTGCAAAGTATTGGGGGAGCTCATATTTCATCAAAGTCTCATTTTTCTAATGGACAGCAGCATATGTAAGATTCTGAACGTGGAAAAACTCAGATAGAAATAAGCAATAGTTACTCTTGAATGCTAAATATAACAAGCAAAATGTTGACTAGATGCTCCGGTAATATTCAGCAGCAAATGTGTTTAGATATTGGGAATTTCTCTATGAAATTTAGTTTAATGATTTATGTCTGTGAGGGATAACTTTCTGGGGTCAACAGCTCAGTTCACCAACAATTGAGGGAAGAGAAAGACCACTAATGCCAGTGGATCGACTTAAGCATCAATTTCAAAGGCGACAACATGCAACCAGCCTCTAATATTTGGACTATCTATTACAAGATGAATATTGAATATTAGGATTGTGAGTTGTGACAATTTAGGAACTACCGTGAAAACATCAAGGAGAAGTATTTTATATAATCTGTCCTCAATTTCTATCTTTTTTTAATTTAGAGAACATGTTTTCTTATCGGAAAACTGTTATATGGATTATGCCCCTTTTTGTTTTATTTCAATAAATTTCTATTTAATTATTTTATTTAAAAAAAAAACATATCTTTGCAGCAATTCAAAATAGAGGAAAATATGACCATATAACAGCATCTAAACATTGCAACTACATAGTCCAATGCATCTTCTGTTTCAATGAGGAGCTAGCCTTAGTGATCGTACTCCAAGAACAACGTGGCTGGAGGAGGATGTGTGGAGATACCTCCAGGTTATTTACCCAAAAAAAACATTGCAACTAAAAGATATCAGCCATGCAAACCTCGTCTATTAGGATCACAAAAGAAGAAGAATTTGTGCGCAGCAATACGACAATACATTTGAACAAAGGCTGCTGGCATATCACGTAATTGTGCCAAGTTGGGTATAAGACCTCGTATATAGGCCTCCATTTCCTGAAGTGCAACGTAAAAAAATAAATCAAGGTTAACATAATATTTTCATATAAGAAACTGTTCAAATACAATTTGTTTCCCAGCTTCATATTGTGTGCACAAAATAAGCCACTCCAAAGGTTAGAATTCTCAAACATTTAACAGGGTCAAGAAAGCTTCAACTCATTATATCAGATTAAGGTTAGAATGAAAGAAATATATGCATGCCAATTAAATAAAGGATATATAATCATAAATAGTTGGCCTCGTGAAATGTTGCTATGTGAGGAAAATAGTATTTAGAGAATTGCATCGAAGAAGCGACTGTTTTCTATAAATATGGATGACAAAAAATAAATATATAAAGGGGATACCGAACTGATTGTTCAATTTTAAACAATTGGAAGCCTAAAAGCAATAAGAATCCATACATGTGGCTGAAGGAAACCGTCAGAATCCTCATCAAGCTCACTCATATCAATTCTTGCCTGTGTAAGTGAAACCTGCACAACCATAATCAGTAGGTAGCTGTCATAAACATTAGATAGATTCATCAAGCTCCAGTTACAAGCAAACAACTGAAAAATAAATTTTAACGAAGAAACAAAAAAAGAGCCACACATGTATACTTAAGTATTCAGGAGAACTAAACAGCAATACCACTAAAATGGTAAATGTTGGAAGGTGACCTACCGTACGCATCACATAAAGGTAAAAGGGTAAAATGGCAATTCTTCCCTGCTCATCTTTCTCAAACTTCATGAAGTTTGAAGGACTAAAAAAGCGTCGGCATTTGGGACCTATTTGTTCAGTACACACAGAGGCAATGTGGCAAAAGTCTTCATAATTCATCTATAACAAACAAATTGAAGTATGCATGAGGACTGCTGTAAAAATAGAGTACAATGCCAAAGAAACCAAGCAACAATTCAAGAAAAAACATGATCCATAATAAACAAAAGCATGATCCATGATAATCAAAGTTGCAGTAAGTTTGAGACTAACAAGGCGGAAATCTTAGCAAAAGTCATATTTTTAACTGGATGAACAAATGAACATATATCACCTATTTAACAGAAAATAATTAATCTTGACAAACAAAATAAGCATCTTTGAAGATAGAGTATGTTTACATCATTGCTCTGAAACAAATAATATGGTCACAGCAAAAATGCATTATGGCACACACATCAAACTCCAATAAAAGTATATACAGAGTACGTCAACTTGTGAAATAAACTGTCTCTGATCATGAAAAGTATACAAGGATCTAATGCCAATTGAGGAACTTCCATAACCCAGAAGCATGGATTGTTATTAAGGATGTAGTGTAACAGCCCCCAAACTCTTTTTTAAAACCAAGGGGGATTGGTTAAGCCAATCAAGCACCCATGACTTTTGTGGTGGATTTAAAAGATTTATCGTATGTCATAAAATTTGGAAATGTGAAGAAGGAAACACAAATATAAAAACGGCAGACCTTTTCTGCACCAGTAGCATCATCAATCACACAGTTTTCTCGTAAGCATACCCACATTGAATCCAAATCATCAGCATTCAGCAAAAGATCTGATTGTTTCTGTTCAATGTACCAGGAATATCACTAATTGAGAAAAATATCAACTGTTTAAGCAGATATAACCAGAAAAGAGGCAAGCCAGAAAATGAGACCTTTAGAAACCGATACTTTGCCAATCTCTGGACTCTATGACTGATTGATCCATCCTCAGGTTTCTGAATGAAGATGAGGCATATCAATTTTCAAATTAGATATGGAGTGTCTTACATGAATACCAAAGAAATTCAATTCCAAAGCTCAAACACCTAAAAAACATCCTACATAATCTTTAACAAAGAACAAAATGACCTTGAAGGGATACAAGATGTAAGGGTCAGCTCTAGATATCAGGGTGCAACTAACTATATGACAGTTATCTTGTCAATTCAAATTCAATGAATAAAATAGTCAATCTGCATGTTGTTTTTTTGGAAGGGATTTGACAGATTGACAGCAGATACTTACACTAATTAGAACAAGCATATTCAAACAGAAAAAATGTGAGAAGAAATAAAAAGGACACATAAAGATGCACATCCATACAAAATTAAAATAACAGATTTTTATAGATCACCAAGCAAGTCTTAAACGTAGTGTCATGCCTTCATAAGTCAACCATCACTAATTGTATTGAAGAAGTCTACTATGAGAAATGGATAACGTGCTGCGGAAACATAGTATAGGAAACTAATAATTTTACCCGCTTCAATATGTACAGGTCAACAACACTCTTATCCCACACTGGTTAGGGTTCGTGGATGAATCCAAATGAATAGCAATAAAATAATTGAGAAAAGAAAAGGGGGGAGAGGGGGGGGGGGGGGGGGATAGAAACTTGGAATATACATGTAATATACTAAAATCAGTATGAACAAGCAATGCATCCACATGCCTTCTTGTAGAAACTTGGAATTGTACCAGCTTCAGCGCTTTTCTTCTGCTTTTCTTTAAAAATGTCAAGCAAAATTCTTTTTGTTTCAAGCTCTGCACAGTGAATTTATTTAAAAAAAAAAAATAGGTGTTGTTAGGGTTCGAGATTGAGAGACAGCAGATCGCAATAGCATTGAAGAAACATTATACTGCGTCGGATATCGACGCATATGGTATATCTATATACATCACTAACTAGCCAGTATACAGCATCAATAAGTGTTCCACAAATACAGTTCCAGTATGCAATGAGCAATTCAACCTTGCAGGAACCAACTAATAGAGTACCAAAAATTAAGGGCTAAAATAAAAACTCAATTCATGGATTTTTCAGTATCATGGCAAGACAAATCATAATTAATAACAAAATGTAATCGCAAAACTCAAGAGGCAGCACAATCTAGCAAAGAAAAACAAATGTAGCGAAAACGAACCCATCAAGGCTTCAGATCCGAGACCGGCACCGGATCCGATGAAACGGCGTAGATTACGAACCCACAGCATGGAGGATGCCGGAGGGATTTTCCTCTCATGTGTTTCGCCGTCGCTGGAGCCGCTGTACATGGCTGAGTGCAATCGTAACCGTATCTTAGGGATCTCAAACTCAAAGTTCAGGTGCTTCTGCTTTCACCATAACTCCGCTATGGAGCATTAATCTGATCTGATCTGATCTACCACTGGCTGGCCCAACTAGCAAGCAAACATGGAAGGAACCTTATACCTCTTTTCAAGTTTCAAGATTTTGCAGTAACATATCCTAATCAAAGTATATAAAATTTGGGAAATACTTTTGCTAAGTTGTAAGAAAAAAGTTAAAAAGTTAAAAAGTTATTTCATATTATAGGTGAAGATAGAAAAACTGAGTGATGGACCCGCTCTTCTTTTGTGTATATAGAAATATTATTTTTTTCATATAAAATAAGATAAATATAACCCATAAAATTTACCTATATTTTAAGACCAATGTCTTTATATTTTTCAATCGATATGATTTACTTAGCTCCAAATCAAATATATGCATAGATATACTAGTTAACTCCACTTACTAAAATTAAAAACTTATGTCAAAAAATAAAAATAAAAATAAAAAATAAGTTGGATAAGTTAAATATTTTAAATTATAATAAATAGAAAGAGATTATACTTATAATTTTTTTTTTATTTTGAATTAAAATTTTAATTTAAGTTAAATTTTTTTATTTTGAATTAAAATTTTAATTTAAGTTAAATGTTTTAATTATTACAAAATAGAAAGAGATTATACTTATTAATTTAAGTTAAATATTTTTTTAATTATTAATTTCCCCAAATAAAAAAATATGCTATAAAATAAATAGATTATAAATATAATATTTCCCAAATACATATACAAAATACTGAAAAATTATCCCAAAATCAAATTAAGGAATGATTATATGATATAAAATAAAATATGTTTCTCATGTTACATAAGATAATTTTATTTCATGCACACAAAAATTTAATAAATGTACCCTTTTTCTCTTTATCTCATTTCTCTTTAATGGGTCTCCATCTATTTATTTTTTTTCAAATAAAATTATCTCATGCAATTATGGAAGTCCTAGCTGTCCATGAAGGTGTGATCTAGCTTGGCTGTTGAATTAGGTTATTGTCATATAATTCAAGCAGAAAGAATCTATACTAGAGATGATGAATGGAATGAATTACGGTTTGATGACAGTGTCAAATTATGGCACTATCTTTATCTTATACTACATTCTACAGATGATTGCTCACACTCAGTATAAGCATTGGAAGATCTAGTTTCAACTAACGCGGGTATCATATTTTTGTTGGATGGATATTGTAGGTGCGACCAGACAACTTAAAATATTTTCCTCTATTTGTAGGTTTTGGATTCAGAATTTGTACTTGAATCTATTGCTAGTTGGACTGCACCATGTCCATAAATCTAGTACACAGCGCAGAACATAAGTTGTTTATTTATTTGTGCGCCATCTGTGTCTGTAACTTAACATACTATTTTTGCGCATTAATTTCTTACTTTAAAAAATTAATTCAAAATAATTTTTATGGTATGAATTATGACACTCATGAAAATAATATAAATTTATTTTCTTATAATAATGAATTATTATATATTATTTTGAATATCATTTTAGATGCATGGTACAAATTTAGTTGTAATTATAAACAGAGTCTTTTTTTTTGGTAAGCATTATAAATAGAGTTATATAGTCCAAATGTCACATGATAATTGGCCGAGATATGCAGCAGCATACAGGCCTCAACAGTCAACACTCAAGATCATAAATCATAACTGTTGAAAAATTGGAGAAATTTTATTATTTAAACTTATTTGTTATAAGTTTATTATTATTTTTTGTTAACAAGTATGCTGGTTAAAAATTCAACGATAAAAAGTTAAAATTTTAAAGTTTTTAATATATCAAAAGCTTTCACTTTTAATAAAAAAAATTATTTTTAATTCTTTGCCAAAAAATTTGATACTGAGTAATAATTTTATACATATATAAAATAGAAGAAAGTTATACTTGGAACTTTTTTTTTTTCAACCTCTTACAACCATATCTTAACACCGTTGATTTTCGCCAATCAATGGTTATCATTTATTGTGAATTAATAATTAACTAATGAGTTTAATTTGCAAAAATCATAACCGTTGATTGAGGAAAATCAACGATGTTAAAATATGGTTGTAATAAAAAAAATTGTAAGTATAACCTTCCTCCATAAAAAATAATTGGAAGTCTCAATATAGAAAAGAAATTGGAAGATTTCATTGGAAAAAAGATAGAACTTAGTCAAACAATTAAATCTTCTATATATGCCAGCCAATGTGATTTCTTTTGTATGCTGGATGATCCTATTGGCTGAAGTGCATGGACCCCCAACAATTTAGAAGCTTACAACTGTTTTGGCCAGAAGCACTGCAGAAAGAGGTTTCGCTTTGAAATGTCGGAAGCTAAACTCAGGAATTAAAAACTGACACAAAAACAGAGACAGATATATACACACTCCAGAGAAATAATTATCTTGTCTAACTCCTCCTTTCACTTTATGGAACATCATGATCCTGCTTAAGGTGTTGAAGTATAACCACACTGGACACGCCAGTCAGAACATAATTTCAACATTCAAATTTAAATTGAATGTTAATACTTACTATTAAGTAAAACTATTCGGGTTATTTATATAGAATTTTAACAACAACAAAATTATATTATCCGTTTCAATATATAGAGAAAATATGACTACCTGATTACATCCACCAAAATAAAAAATAAAAAAACATGACTACCCTATCACAAGGCATAACAAACCCACTCCACAGCTGCATAACACATACATTTTATAAGAGATCTGCATCATTCATCTGCATTTCATCAATCTGAGTACTGTAATATTGTTCAATATCTCTCAAGATCTTCATATCATCGCTCTTGACAAAATTTATTGCAACACCCTGCAAACCATGATTTGACCAACTATAAGTAAATGTATACATATATGTAATATATACTACATACATCAGAGAGTAGGAAAAGGAAACCCCAAATGGGAGTACTAGAAGGACACAGGAATCAACAGATACCTCTTAAAATTCTCCTAAAGGAAAAAAACAAAGTTTGCAATATGAAAAACTAAGTAACTACTTAAGAGTTCAGAAACATTAGTTCGACTAGTTTAAAAATTCTCGATAGATACCTTGCGTCCAAAACGTCCAGAGCGGCCAATTCGATGAATGTAAAGCTCTCGGTTATTTGGAAGATCATAATTGATAACTAGGGAAACCTGGTAACAGAAGCAATTAGTTGATCAATATTAACAATTAATCCCTCCATATACAACTCAAGGAATTAATGGGAAGAAACTTTAATTGATATTAGCCAAGTTGATGACAAAAGAATTTCATTTGACTGCATTTCTTAAGAACTAAATTAAATTGTTATTATACTAGCCTGTAGTCCCATACCTTCACACTGCTCAAGACATTAAAACACACTGAGAAGAACCTTAGGATGCACCACCCCGCGAACTAGCTCAAAAGGTGGGAGTGCCCAAGGCCTTATAAACCCCACATTAGTTGCCCATACAACCAATGTGGGACTCCAAGTCCCATACCTTGCAAATAGATCCTAACAATCCACCACGCTCCGCGGCCCCCGCGCCCATGCGGGCAGGCTTTGCGCTAGTCTTTTACTAACCCTGGGCGAACACTGCAATGACAGCATCACCACCTGCACCGCTCGATTGCAACTAGGAGACATAGTGGAAGGCTCTGATACCATTTGATAAGAACCTTGAGCTGCACCACCCCAAAAGCTAACTCAAAGTGTGAGAGTGCCTAAGGCCTTATAAACCCCACATTAGTTGCCCATACAATCAATGTAGGACTACAAGTTTCATACCTTGCAAATGGGTCCTAACACACAAACAAGGCATAAATTAAGAACAATATCTAACGGAAATAAAATTACATATAAACTGACATATGATCAACAAAGGAAGAACCAGAAACTCTAGTTACAATGAGAATGCCAAAATTTTGTTAAAACCCTAAAATTTGAAATGCCAGGGCCCATTAACACCCTCTAAATACTATTTCCTATGGTTGTTAGACTAAAAAGTCAGTATACAATAAAATTAAACAGTCATTAAGAGAATATTCATCTACTTCTCATCAAGTCAGTAATTATTTACTATATACCAGTGACTTGATTGGTGTAATAGTACCTCTATCCAAAAAAACATGTTTTTTACCGCCACACAAAGGTAAATATTTGTTGCTAATGAACAAGATATTGAGGAATTGTCCATACCAAAAATCACAATTATTAATACAAGCCTTTTCCCCATAAAAAGGGAATCTTTTGTTACAAGGGAAGCAGAAGCACTATCGATTATTCAAGAATCTAAGTCCATACCAAAAATCATAATTATTAATACAGGCCTTTTCCACATAAAAGGGAATCTTTTGTTACAAAGGAAGCAGAAGTACTATCGATTATTCAAGAATCTAAGTAGATTTGTTTTATAAATAGAGGATATCAATGAGCTTCTATAAAATGTAGGGGTGACAAAAAAAAAAAAAAAACACTCCCCATTAAACCATGATTAGTGAGAGTAGGGATGAGGGCAATTCTAGCACGCAACCTTACCATTTCATATTTGCAAAGAGGCTACTTCTCAGATTCAAACATTTGACCTTTCAATCACAAAGGAATAGATGGTATGGGCTTCGCAATCCTTTCCTTCTGCATGAAGTCTTGTCTTTTATTGGAATGAACTAAAGTTTATCTTTTGCAATTACTTTTGTCATTGGAATTGGTTCCATGTTATTAAGGTCTAGGAGTGATTTCATTGTGCTTAGTAGTTAGCATGCTTTCATTACCAAATGGCACTATTCTTATTTGGAGGAATATTTTGTTTAGAACCATTCTGGCTAAAAGATTAATTTTGGAAAGAGTGGTTTGACTTTGGCGGGTATATTTTAACTCTTTTTGAAGTTTGTTGTCTATTATATTTTCTATCTTTTATGATTGAAGTTGTGATATAAATGTTATTTTATACACATAATATTATTTTTTATAATTAAAATTGGGAATATAAGATCTTATGATCCGTGTCGATCCCATGATTTATGATCAAGCTACCCATTCTTATCTTAGGCAAGATCTCAATCTTGACAACCATAATACCACTGCTCCAAGCACAGATGGAAAACAA